TCCAATGGACATTTTATTGGTACATTTTGTTTTTGTACTATTTGGTTACATACTTGTCAGAATTAAGGGTCAAACACATTTTGAGTTTTGAGGAAGAAATGCTCGGACCAGCCGTTTAGGTGTGTTTAGGTGTGCTGCGGCCTTATATGTGTTCCGAAGTGACCCTTTTGTGCATTCTGATCCCATTTGTCCAGATAACCTATGTTTCATGTTTGTATCTTGTTTACTGTTTAGATGAATAGTTAAAAGACTGTTGGACTGTGACGTATGTTGTTGTGCAGCTGCAGTACTACATTTTCACCACTAGACATTTATACTGTAATTAAAGGGGCTACTAGAGAAAAATGTCTGCATGATATAATTAGACCATAAGAGAATACATATTCTTGATTTAATGTCTTGCAATAATTAATATAAACCATTTCACTGGAAGCTGAAAAACTGAAGAATGTATTTTTTTTTTTATTGTAAGTTTCCAATTAAGTTTCTGAAAGAAGAGAAATAGAACTAAATGAAGCAGCAGAACAAAGGAGGATTACTGTACTGTGTACTGTATACAGCCTTATATCTACTCCTAGTGTGTCCCTTTGGACATCCTGATCCCATTTTTGCAGTCAATAAATACATCATCCTTCCAAAGTGACGTGATGCTTATTGGGGTGGAGATGGCTAACATGACATGCGTGCACATGAAGGGATATATATATATATATATATATATATATATATATATAATTTATTTATTTATTTAATTATTTAAATATCATTCCTATACAGGGTTACTGTATTGGCTAGTTGAAAAATGTTATCACAGTTTTTATCACTTATTATACAAATTTCGTCTTTTGGCTACATTAGACTACTTATTCTTCTCAAAACAATAGAAAATTCTAATTTAATTATGAATAAAATTATGAAAATCATACAAAAGGATGATGATCAACCAAGTTATAACTATACAAACTTCATCCCAAGTTCTATTTTCTTGCAATACTTTAATTTATTTGTTGGACATCAAATGGTTAAAGTTTTGAAGTTCACATGCAATAAAACTATATCTTTGCTAAATGAAAATGCAATAAACTTTTATTGCAAAGATTTTTATGACTTTTATTTTGAAATGCGATCTGATGCAATTAAGCCGTGCGAGACTGGCGCACAAGTCTCCTGTTCTCCCTCTGTACACTATTAAAGTCAACCTGAAAACAAAATGGACCTTTTTACCTTGTTAGTTCATGTTCATGGTCACATTAATTACAGTCCATCATGTCGTATAATTCAAGACAAAATTCTTGTTTCTTTGATGGCAGTGTAACTTTTGCTGCCTCTAAACGTTGTTTGACGTTTGGCTGCGTCATTGTGTTCCAGCGGGCGGGAAAAAATCTACTAACCAATAACATTCTTTCGTATAGTGTAAGTATTTAAAGGGGAATTCCACCAATTTTTCCAAATTTCTGCATAATTCAATCACTCATAATTCAGAAAGGTTTGATGTGAAATACTTTATTGTAAAAAAAACGTACCGACTCAGATTCCTTTACAGCAGTGGTGACCTACACGTGTCTTCTGAGTTTTTAAATGTAGGGTTGATGATGGTAAAATAGTGGTAAATAGTAGTGAAAAACACATGGGACAAAGTTCTGCAGGTAGAAGAAGCTGCAGCCATCCTATTTGGTCAGAATGAGGCCGAGGTCAGGTCTCGCCTCTGTCACGATTGGTCAAGGAGTGGTAAAGTGGCATGAAAATGTAGCATGACACATTAGACACAAGACCCAAATTCACAAAGGACTCATGGGACAAGACACATGACCTCGTATTTTCCAGAAAAGTCACTGATTGCTTGGAAATTTTGGTTGCTATCTCATGACTGAAGGTGTTACCATCAACTAATCAACCAGTGAATGAAAGCTTACATAGGAGTCATGTACAGTCATATCAGGGATTTGGGAAGTGTTCAAGGACAGCAACTGCTATAAAATAATAACAAAATTGCTATTCTAATTATAATACTTTTAACAATAGCATTTTCACTTGACTTAATTTTTGTTTTATGTATTTATATTGTAATGACGTGAGCATCTAATTGGTTCCTGACAATTATTCATGCTAATGTGTACTGGGCTATCTACTCTCTGTGAGAAGTGTATCGTGTTTTCTATCTGTTTTTTTGCTACTGCTATTGTTCAAAGCTGATTAAAGAGCAATGTTGTCATGTGCCCAGCCTCCGAGCATGGCTCCCCCTTGGATCAATGCTACAGTGGTGTCAGAAGTGGGACACTGTGTCAGCTCAATGAGTTAAAGCAGAGGCTGCAGTTGGAGCCAGGACCAGCGTCACAAAGTGGAAAGTGTGGCCCTGATCTGGTGTTGAGTTGCTTGGAGATGGCGACAATGGAGCCCTCCCTATGGCCGAACCTGCCAGCCTCCTCCGATATAATGGCAAGACCCCCTGGGAGCTTTCTGAGGCGAGGGTGCAGCTGGTGACTGACTTCTACAGGTGGTCAGATGAGACGGCAGCAGTGCACTCCTGTAGGGGGAGGCACTGCAAGTGCTGCTGTTCACCCTGAGGACCGTTGGCACCTGCCAGGATTGAAGATGGCCCTTCAATGGCGCTTTGGAGGAGCACTGGACCCTGCAGCTCAACATCATTGCTGAGTCAATGCAGGGAAAAAGAGGAGAAGCTGGGGGTGTTTGGTGAGGCAGGCATATAAACACATGGCTACCTGGAAGCAGTGCGGCAGGACCCGGCCCTTCAGGTGTTCCGGAGTGCCCTAATGCTAGAGAGCCTACAACACCATTTGAGACTACTGGTGCCATCATCCCTGGCTAAAGCAGAGAGTGGAGGTGATCCCTTAGAGATTGTCACTGCCAAGAACTGGTGCCAGCATCAACGGAAAACACTGTGCTGTGAGGGGCAGGTGGCCCCCATTCTGCAAGACCCTTAGAAAGGGCTTCACAGTGGGTAGGCTGGGTCAGCAGAGGAGCCTTTGGCTACCATGCAATGTAGCAGCAACGCAGGCACACACTGCAACCTGAGACCTCGTCGCAGCCCCTCCAAGAAGAACACAGAAGTCACTGAAGAGTGATGAGCTTCAGCGGGTGACGATGACCTCGACACCATCACTGGCTTGCAGTGGTTCAGCTCCCTGGACCTGTAAAGGTCACTCCAGAGGCCAAGGAGAAAAGTAGCATTCATCCTAGGGGTGGGGTTATGGCAGTTCCGGGTCATGCCCTCTGGACTGTGCAACAGCCCTGCTACATCATAGCATTTCAACAGGGGATGCTATGTGGAGTCTATCGGCCGATGGGTGGCCCACTTCGGGGTAATCAAGACACTGTTGACACAGATGTGGAGCTCATCATCCACTGTTGCAACACCAGCACAGCTCAAAACATACAATCCATGGTGTCCCGATGGAGTGAGTAGGAGTGGATGTCCTGGGATCCTTTCCAGACACTGAGCCTGGAAACTTTGAGTCCACTTAATCCACAAAGAGACAGGACTCAATGGACGCAAAGGACTCTAACAACACAACTGGCCATCTTGACATCAGCAAGACTGGGACCACCACCTGCCCCTGAGCTTTTTTTTAATCTTACTCACTCAGATGTCTTTACAGTGGTGGTGATAGGAACCAGGGGTCGTCATGACTACAACACAAATATAGACATTTTATTTACCATCCAAAATCATCAGTGAACCTACACGAGTCTGTTTTACACGGAATGTTGATGTTGGCAAAGTAGTGGAAAATCTGAAAAATAAACTTTCTTTCAGGACTATTTTTCCTCATAATGTCTTGCATGTACCTCTCCACCATAAATATGTTTAATAAATACAGTTTAGGCCAACACATTATCTCAAAACGATCATAAAACAATGTCTCAGGCAACAATTCTGACTTGGCAAGTTTCTCTACAAAGATGCATTGAACATCAAACCATTCTGAATGACTCTGTTTACATCTTAGTTAATTTAATTTTAAAAGTCAGTGGAATTTCCCTTCAACTGTTAGGTTAGATGCACTGACCCACTCGTATTCAGGTAGCTATAAAGAGTAGCTTTCTATTGAAACATTTAAAACATAACATATATTGTATACACATATATGTTTATATATATATATATATATATATATATATATATATATATATATATATCCATAGAGATGGGTAATTTCTGGTATGGGCGTTTTAATATGCTGGGTTATATAAGGATGTTTTTAGGATGTGGACATCATGCTAGGTATGGTCACTCAACAAATCACTCCTTTCATACAGTTACTTCAGCCGTTTTATTCATGCATTTATGATGCTTTGTTGATGAGTTTACTTCTTAAAAGTCTTCACATTAACAGTTCTACCACCTTTGTACCTATAATGTACATGAAAGGGCAAAAAGTCAAGTCAAGTCAAATTTATTTCTATAGCGCCTTTTACAACAGATGTTGTCACAAAGCAGCTTTACAAAGAATCCGGGTCCCCCAGTGAGCAAGCCTCGGCGACAGTGGCAAGGAAAAACTCCCTCAACAGGAGGAAGAAACCTTGAGAGGAACCAGACTCAAATAGGGGAACCCATCCTCCTCTGGTCGACACCGGATAACAGCACAGACACAAAACAGTAGAAGTGGATACAGTTTAACACCACTGTGCAGAGCACCGGCCGCATCTCACATCAGACCCTCTTAGGACAGGCAGCCGCTCAGCTCAGGGAAAAAGAGGGGGAGGGGGGAAGAGGGGGGGGGGTAGGGGGGATAAGAGGGACATAGTTAGGAAAACAAATTAACCAAAGGCTCGACTAAACAGGTAAGTTTTTAGCTTAGACTTAAAAACTGAGGCTGTGTCTGAGTCCCGAACACTGACTGGTAGGCTATTCCAAAGCTGGGGGGCTTTGTATGAAAAGGCTCCTCCCCCTGACGTAACGTTATTTATTCTGGGTACTAATAATGAGCAGCACCTTGTGATCTAAGTGGGCGTGTCGGTTGATAGTAGGAAATAAGGTCACTGAGGTACTGAGGAGCAAGGCCGTTCAGAGCTTTATACGTCAGCAGAAGAATTTTGTACTCAATGCGGAATTTAACTGCCAATGTAAGGTACACAAAGTCGGGCTAATGTGGTCTAAATGTCCTGGTTTTGCTGAGAACTCTGGCTGCAGCGTTCTGGACTAACTGAAGCTTGTTAAGGTTTTGGCTGGAACAGCCAGAAAGCAGAGCGTTACAGTAATCTAACCTGGACGTGATAAAGGCGTGGACTAACGTTTCTGCGTCCTGTAGCGACAGTGCAGTTCTTTATTTAGCGATGTTATGAAGGTGGAGGAGAGCTGTTCTGGTAATATTGGTAATATGCTCATCGAAGGCCAGACTGTTTTTTGAGTGCAAGCTTCTGTTAGACTGGCTACTAACTCCTCCTCCTTAGCTCCAAGCTTCAGCGGCTGTTGGGTGGACTTCAGACATGACCAATCAAATCCTGACACTGGCCTTTTGTCTGGGGAGCTGCCTGTGAAAAAGCAGGGAAACTGCTGGTGGAACCCACTTCACTGCTTAGTACATCTAAGTCAAAGAAACTGCCTCATCATGGAATCTGCTCTCACTCTCAGCACCGGAGCACGGATGCCTGTTGTGGGTCTGGGGACATGGAAGGTAAGAGACTTCAAACTTCTAGTTATTGTTGTTTGAATGTATTTATTCAGCAGCAGAAACACAGCACTGTGCAGGTCTTAGGCACATAAGCAGATTATTTAAAGCTATTTATCTTGGCAGTAGGTTTGTTTTTGTTGGTAAAATCACCACATATTAGAATAAATGCAAGTAAGTTCTCTACAATCTTAAAGAAGATGGTTCTTCAAGGGTTCTTGAGTAAAGAATCAGGTTCTATATAGAACCATGAACACTTGTTATATAGCACCTTCTATTGTTATGATGTCAGGCATGTAACTTAATAGAAGAACCCTTTTTGGTGCTATATAGAGCCATATACAACATGTTCTCCATCAATCTGAAGAACCCTTTCACAATGCAGAGAACCCTTTAATCATGCAAAGCGTTATTTGAGTGTTCATGGTTCTATATAGAACCATTTTCTTTACGAAGAAACCCTTGATGGATCTTTTTTAAGAGTGTAGAATGTTGAATTCAGTGTGCAGAGCACTGACAACACTCTTAAAAAAGATGGGGTTCTTTAGTAAAGTCAGTGGTTTTATACAGAACCATGAACACTCAAAAAACTATTCACATGCTTAAAGGGTTCTTTGCATGGGGAAATGGTTCCTCAGATTGATGGAGAATGTGCTGTACATTTTTGAAAAGGGTTCTAGATAGCACCAAAAAGTTTCCTCTGTTGTTACAGTCTTGACATCATAACAATAGCAGAACCCTTTCTGGTGGTATATAGAACCATATACAACACACTCTCCATCAGTCTGAAGGACCATTTTGCAAAGCAGAGAACCTTTAATCATGCACAGTGTTATTTGAGTGTTCATGGTTCTATATAGAACCATTTCTTTACTAAGAGACTTTTGAAGGACCTTTTTAAAGAGTGTAGAACAGAGCGTTTCACATAAAACCACTAAATGTTTAAACTCATACAAATGTTGAATTCAGTATGTCAGAGCACCGACAACATTAAACACTCTAAATGAAAAAAAAATGGTTCTTCAAGGGTTCTTTACTGAAGACAGTGGTTCTTCATTGAACCATGAACACTAAAAGAACCATTTGCATACTTAAATGGGTCTTTGCATGGTAAAATTGTTCCTGATTGTTTGATGAAGAGTGTATTATATAGAACCTTTCTGAAAAGGGTTCTACATAGCACCAAAAAGTTTCCTCTATTGTTACAATCTTGACATCATAACAATAGCAGAACCCTTTTTAGTGCTATATAGACGATATAGAAATAAATAGAAACATACAACACATTCTCCAACCTGAGGAACTATTTCACCATACAAAGAACCCTTTGAATGGTTCTATATAGAACCTTTTTGAAAAGGGTTCTATATAGCACCATGTCAAACACCTTCTCCATCAATGTGAAGAACCTTTTAATCATGCAAAGGGTTCTTTAAGTGTTCATGGTTCTATATAGGACCATTGTCTTTACTAAAGTACCCTTGAAGAACCATCTTTTTTAAGAGTGTAGTGGTAGTTTAGAACTACGTGGCTCACAGTGTTAAAGTGTCAGTGGTGTTTCTCCACAGTCGTCCCGAGGACAGGTCACAGAAGCCGTGAAGGCAGCCATCCTGACTGGCTACCGTCACATCGATGGGGCTCATGTCTATGAGAACGAGAAGGAGGTTGGGGCCGGCGTCCGTGCCATGATTGACCAAGGAGTGGTTAAAAGAGAGGAGCTCTTCATCGTCAGTAAGGTGGGCGCAACACAAAAGCACAGTGTAGTGTTTTAAAAAACTGGCAAGTCACTGACGACCTGCAGAATTTATAAGATTAAGTGACCCTTATTAGTCCCACAACGGGGAAATTTCAGCGCATTTTGACCCATCCATGCAATGAAACACCACATAACACACTAGTGAACACACACACTAGGGGGCAGTGAGCACACCTGCCCAGAGCAGTGGGCAGCCCTATCCACGATGCCTGGGGAGCAGTTGGGGGTCAGGTGTCTTGCTCAAGGGCACTTCAGTCACGTACTGTCGGCTCAAGGGATCAAACCAGCGACATTCCGGTCACAAGGCTGGTTCCCTAACCTCCAGCCCATGACTGCCCCAATGTTTTGCTGCTATTGGCTTTGAGGTGTGATTATTAATTGTTTCCTCAGCAATCTACTGTTTACTGTATTCGTACTGTTTTGTGCAATGCAAAGCTCATATGTGCTCTAATGTGAACCCAGAACTGTCTGTGGACCCTCAGGTCTTCACACCTGGAATTAGAATGAAACACTAGTTTCAACAACACAGCCTTGTTACTAACAATGTCTAAGTCAAAGATAATTCAAATTCAGAGCCTCCATTACCAGCAGAAAAACAAATCCCAGTCAGAAGACTCTGAATGGACAACGAAGCACTTTGTAAGTCACTCTGGAGAAGAGCATCTGCTAAATGCCATAGATGTAAATGATAAGAAGTGCTTGAGCGTGGTTCAGAGCGCAGTTATGAAAAAACAACGTAGTACTGTTTATTAATCACACCATGAACTGAACACCACACTACAGCAGTTACCAAATATATAAGCAGTAGAACACAGAGGGAGTGTGTTATCGCGAAATAACATCACGGCTGTGATTTGGTCGCCGTAGATCATCACAGCCGTGATGTTATTGGCGATAACACACTCCTCGAGTGTTCTATTGCTTTTATACAACAGTTAAATAAATAAAGTAATAAATTAATAAACTGGGCCGTGAACGCGGCGTTTAATATGTTTTAATGTTCGCAGTTCCTTCACCAAATTATAGTTCCTTAACAAGCAGCTTGTTGCTACGTCGGAGTAACGAGCTCCGCCCACTCGCTGCACAGCTGGCAGTTCGTTCTCCAGCTCCTTACACTAAATTCCCAAACTGTCATCAACACTGAGCAGCTTTTCGGTTGGCAGCTGTGACAGAAGAACAGTTTAACAACCTGGAATCAGCCAGAAATGAACCCAACACCATTCGCCAAACGTGTAGTCTGATCTTCAGAGTCTGACCAAATCAGACTGAGCCATAAAACTGCTGCAATATCAGGTTTAGCTCAGTTTTGTAATTTTTTGCCAGATCAGTATTAATGTTGTTTTGTTCCAGCCAGTCTGTAAAGCATCTTACAGCCCATTTAGTTTGGCGAATGGTGTTGGGTTCATTTCTGGCTGATTCCAGGTTGTTTAGCTGTTCTTCTGTCACAGCTGCCGACTGAAAAGCTGCTCAGTGGTGATGACAGTTTGGAAATTTAGTGTCGTCTCATCTTCAGAGTCTGACCAAATCAGCTGTTGGTCAAATGTGATCTTAAAAGTGTCCATTTTCTGTTTGTGGCAAAGTGAGAAGTAAAAACGTTCAAATTCAAAATTGGTTCTACTCTCTTAAAAAACAAGGATTCTTTAAACTTTCTTTAGTAAAGAAAATGGTTCTATATAGAACCATGAACACTCAAAAAACCCTTTGCATGATTAAAGGGTTCTTTGCACTACAAAAAGATTCTTCGGATAGTTGGTGAATGTGCTATAGATGGTTCTATATAGCACCCAAACGGTTCTCCTATTGTTATGATGTCAAACTTGTATACAATAGAAAAACTCTTTTTGGTGCTATATAGAACCCTTTTCAAAAAGATTCTATATAGAACCATGTATAGCACATTCTCCATCAATCTAAATAACACTTTGATGATGCAAAGAACCATTTACACATAGACATGGTCCTATATAGAACCCTTAAAGAGAACCACCTTTTTTAAGTGTGTATAGACCCATGTATACTCAAAGAACCTTTAGCATAATGAAAGCGTTCTTTGCATCGTTGAAATGTTCTTCAGATTGATGGAGAATTTGTTTTATATGGTTCTATATAGAACCTTTTTGGAAAGGGTTCTTCTACTGTTACAGGCTTGATGTTTTTGGTGCTATATAGAACCATTTTCAAAAAAGGTTCTATATAGAACCATCCACAGCACATTGTCCATCAACCTGAAGAGCCTTTAATGATGCAAAGAACCATTTACACGTTGACATGGTCCTGTATAGAACCTTAAAGAGAAGCACCTTTTTTAAGTGTGTATATAGAACCATGTATACTCAAAGAACCCTTTGCATGATGAAAGGGTTCCTTGCATTGTTGAAGCGTTCTTCAGATATAGGTTTGACATCAAACCCTTTTAGGTGCTATATAGAACCCTTTTCAAAAAGGGACCATCCACAGCACATTCTCCACCAATCTGAAGAGCCTTTAATGATGCATGAACCCTTTAATCATGCAAAAAGGTCTTTCAGTGTTCATGGTTCTATAAATAGAACCATATTCTTTAAAGAACCATCATTTTAAGAGTGTATGTTCAAACAAATGAACTGTGAAATGAACTGTAGACAAAATCAACCAAAACAAAGTCGGAAGGAATGCTGGGCAGTTCCACCCCATCACTACAACAGGCTGCTCAAAACTGCTCAGATTAACGGTCACTTTCCCAGTGCTAATCGCTGTTGCTGTTCAAGGAATGCAGTCGATTACTGCAGAGCTTCCTCTGTGACGTTCCATCAGTTCTTGGCTGTGTCCATGTCTCACTATCCGTGTTTAATCCTTTCAGCTGTGGTGCACGTATCATGAGAGACCTCTGGTTAGAGGAGCCTGTGAGAAAACCCTGAGTGACCTAAAGCTGGACTATCTGGATCTCTATCTGATGCATTTCCCTATGGGCTTTAAGGTAATATTAATCAATAATAGTATTTATAAAGTACAAGTGTTAGGGAAGCTACTTTGAAAGCATAGCTTTGCAAACGTCCCATTACTTCACACTGGAAGAAGCTGAACTACAGCAAAGCTACCCTAGAAGAGATGTAGATGCAGATGCTGCTGCACAGTTTGTGTTGGTCATCCTCTAGTCCTTCATCAGTGGTCACAGGACGCTGCCCACAGGACACTGTTGGCTGGATAGTTTTGGTTGGTGGACTACTCTCAGTCCAGCAGTGACACTGAGGTGTTTAAAACTCCAGCAGCACTGCTGTGTCTGATCCACTCATACCAGTACAAAAAACTATATATATATATATATATATATATATATATATATATATATATATATTAGTCATACAGTCATATCATATCAAATCAGCAGTGTATGCATCTGTATCTATTGTGCAAACTATTCTAGGTTAACTTAAGCTACTTAAAGTAGTTCAAATTACTTTGTGAAAAATTATCAAATTGACAATGTACGTTATACAAAATGATAACAAAATATAATCCAGGAAAAAAAAACATGCCAGCAAAAAATCCCAAACTTATTCACAAATCATACATAAACCACAAAAATAAAATACCCCACTATTCACAGGAAAGTGCAAGGAACGTCAGCTTTTTATGGCCCAAAATTGTTTGTCGTTTCAGTAGTTAAATACACAATAAATGGCAAAAAAATGTAACTACTTGAATCACTATACAAATATTAATGTAGTTGAAATACCAGCAAACTACTGTAAAAGTAGTTAAAGTACTAGTGTGAGTAGTTCACTGCTCCCAACACTGTGTACAACATGTGAAAAGCATTAAATGAGCACTGATTGCTGGATTTGAATCTGCAGCCTGGAGAAGAGCTCTTTCCTTTTGATGCTGAGGGCAAAGTGATTCCAGATAACAGCAGCTTTCTGGACACATGGGAGGTAATTAAATGTAAACAGCCTATTCTGGAACAGAAACAAATGACTGCCTTATTAAACTAATACATACGTATGTATTCCCTGAAAGACGTTCTGTGAATCTGGATGATTTAATATGATGTTCATAAAGGAAATGGAGAAGTTGGTGGACGCTGGGCTGGTCAAGGCCATCGGCATCTCCAACTTCAACCGAGAGCAGATTGAAGCCATCCTGAACAAGCCAGGCCTCAAATACAAACCTGTCAACAACCAGGTGAGCCGATTAAAATCTGTAATACTTACTTTTATAAAGCAGCACTGTGTAATATTTTTGTCAAAACTGAAAGAAGTACACTCTTAAAAGAGATGGATCTTCAAGGGTTCTTTAGGAAAGAAAATGGGGTAACACTTTCTATGAATGTCACCTTTGTAAGCATCTATAAACACTTTCATAACATGTTATAATGTATTCATAAGGCATTATAAACATGGCTATAAATATTTATACAAATGCATTACACGTTATAGCCATGCTTATTATGCATTATGAATTGTTAACATAATACATCATAAGTACTGATCATAACAAATTATAAGAGCTCATAAGTTGTATTTGTCCGCTCTAAGTAAAGTGAAGCGTACTGTACTAAAGCCTCCTCCAGTGTTCAGAGTGAGGCTTCAAGTTGAAGTATTTACTGAAGGATTTACTGAAACACTAAAACATTCACAGTAAAGCACATTACAGGCTTCAAATGTCAGAGTTTAAACTAGAGCTGCATCAGTGTTTTACCCAATGTGGGAAAGGTAATGTTCACCACCGTTAGCTTGGTATTTGTTTTTACTTTACACTCTCCAAGCTGGGACTGACTTCTTTAGCACTGGCAGTATAACATGTTATTAACACTACTTATAATGCATTATATTAACAATTCATAATGTATAATAAACATGACTATAAAGTGTAATTCATTTTTATAAATGTTTATAATCATGTTTATAATGCCATATGAATGCATTATAACATGTTATAAATGTGTTTATAGATGCTTACAAATGTGACATTCATAGAAAGTGTTACCAAAAATGGTTCTGTATAGAACTATGAACTCACAGAACCGTTTGCATGATTAACGTTTTCTTGTGCTACAGCTGGTTCTGCATAGAACCGTTTTGAAAAACATTGTATGACATCATAACAATAGAAGAACCCTTTTGGGCTATATGAAACCATTTTCAAAAAGGTTCCATCTACAGAAACATTTACAGCACATTTTCCATCGGTCTGAAGATTCTGCCGCTTGTGGGGGTCCGAAGCGCAACTGACGTTACAAAATATTCTTCTGCACGTTGTGTGCAATTACATACTTCCACCAGAGAGGTCTCCAAATCCCCACATTATACACAGTGTTGCTTTAAAAGAGTTTAAGAAGGCCTAGTGTTTTCCAGTAGAAAAGTATGAATAAAATGATTAATACAGTTTTTATCTCCTGCTCCAGATTGAGTGCCATCCCTATCTGACGCAGGAGAAGGTGATCAACTTCTGTCACTCTAAGGGCATCACAGTGACTGCGTACAGCCCTCTGGGGTCCCCTGAAAGGCCATGGTAGGAAACAATAAGGACAGGGTTGGGTGGGTGACGTGCACCGAAATGTAATTATCAAGTACCGATCCAATACCATTGATATTGGGCCGTAATCAGTAGATCAGTTATAGGAGGGAAAAAGTGGAATGAATCTGATTCAATCCTGAAATAACGAAAATCTAGTGTCCGTATGCCTGAGTGATGAAGGGGAAGAGGAGTCGGATTCTGCAGGCGAGTCAGAATTCGGCACAACACTTGCCTAAAACTGCATTTTACTCATGTTCATAGCTCACAGTGAGTCATACTGTGATCTAAACCACATTGACAAACCTGTGAGACCTTAATGAAGACTTGGATGCAGTTTGAGCGAGTTAGGAGAAGACATGGAGATGTATTTATGGAAACAAGCAAAGTTTGGTGGCTGAATACTGCAATTGTTGCAAGAGGTACATCCTCAGTTCCAACATATAAAAGCAGTGTTAGTAAAGAAGCTGCTGTCGCTCATGTTTAATAGCTGGCATTCTTACTAGTCTACTTACATTACTTTGCTTGCTAACAAGCAAGCAGTCAAAGAAGAAGCTGCTAGTTTTCCAGGCAGCTTTCTGAGAAACTAATAACATGTAATAAGAATGTCCTGAAAAACTAACAACACCAGAAACTGAATTCCATACCCTTCATGCACTGAATCCACATTAGCAGCACTGAGGAACAGAGGGACGTCAGAGAACTTGTAGAGAGGAGAATGTCCACTCTGCAATGTCTTGCGGGTTTCTCAAACGCTAGAGGGCGCTCCCGAGCGAGTCCAAAATGAATGGGTTGATATGGAGCCTTTGAGTAAAATTATAGTTTATAAATACTTAAACATTTTTAATGTAAAAGAATACAATCATTTCCTGAACACAGAACAGCATAAAACATTTTAACACCGCTGTTATATTTTTAAGAGCTTACAAACTCGAGTTATAGGAGTTTAAAACGGCGCATCATGTATGTTCATGACGTCAGTGAGCGCGAACAGCCAATGAGCTGCTGCGCTCGCCAACCAATCAGCACTCACTAGCAGTAAGGCCCGCCTTCTGCTGCCCAAAACCCATTTGCTGTATAAAAAGGAAACATACAGGTGAGATTTCTTTGCTTTTTTAGTGAAATACATGCTTCTACTTTTTAAAATTAAAGGAAAGTTCTGGTTCAGTGATTAGAAACTATTTTAACTTTTCGTTTTTAGCCATTGAGCTCCATTTACTCCCATTCATTGAGGACTCGCTCGTGGGCGCCCTCTGCTGTTTAGCAGTCCTATTTTTGATATAACGGGGGAAATAGGAAGTGGCCAGGCTCCTCATAAACCGGCTCTGGAGATGTTTCTAAAGATAAGCCCCACCTATTGGTTATTTTAATTGGTTGTTCTCTGAGCCAATTACGTTTGTTCTGCCTCAGGGTAGCGCTGCCTTCAGAACTGTTTTGAGTAGTGATTTTGCACATGAGCGTAACATCAGCAACACTGCTGGCAGTAATAAATCACTGCGTAAGCTTAGAAAATCTCATTCTGGAGTAATAATTAAATACGATTAAATATTTTAATAAAGTATTTTAATTCAAAATTAAATTAAGATTTAATATAATTTTGTAAAAATTCTTGATTAGAAATGTTAAAAAATTAAATATTAAAATTCATGGCCAAACTGACTGAGCTCTTAACTTATTTAACCTCTTTCACAGTAGCTGTGAAATGCTATTTCAGTCTTTTTTTTTTATAGGTCAATCAGTTCAGCCTTCAATAATGATATTTTTCATTACACTATTTTATTTGTTTATATTAATAAAAAATACTGCTGGAAAAAGCCACTAGGATGCCTGCAACTCTTGCAGTATCTGCATCGTTTTCTACAGCGGTGCAGGGTTGCCAGGTTCAGCAATAATCTCCAGCCGTCAACCTGAAGCTGAAACTTCAATTTTCTCCTGTGAATTGAATTTTTGAACTAGCCCATTTTGGCAGGAAAACCGCAAACCTGGCAACCCTCACAGTGTCAGCAATGAAAAAATAAAAGCACATTTTATTATTTACATGATTCTGATATTATTTACGTGATGTTTTACACAAAGAACTCCTGCAGTGTGTAAATCTTACATATGGATGGATAAAAGGATGGTGGTTTTAGAAGATGGGGGGGTGTTTTTTCCCTTTGCATCCCACCTTAAATGAAACCCTGAGTATCAGAAAACAAAAACTGGTATTGTCATCTTTAAATCATCAACAACTGCAGAACTGAAGTGAACCCATCTCAGCCTGCATCCTAACTCTGCTGAGTGCTCTGCTTTTACAGGGCGAATGAAGATGAACTGTCCCTCCTGAAGGACCCACAGATCAGAGCCATAGCCGACAAATATAATAAAACAACAGCACAGGTACCTGTGTGTGTGTGTGTGTGTGTGTGTGTGTGTGTGTATATATATATATATGTTTCTATATAATTTATTTGGGATCCAATTTTTCTTCTTGGATTCAGTGGCACTTATTCATCAAAGTTTCATTAAAAGAGTGCAGATTTGACCATTAATGGCATGCATATTAATTTGCGTCTGATTCATGAAACCTTTATATGACGTGGAACCAAGCAGAGATTTGAGCGCAAATAATGCATCAGCTTCAGTGCGTGAAATCAAGCGCCAGCCTACCAGCACCTCATTTACATATCATTTACATGAAACGCCCTAACTCATGCAGATGTTTCAGTAGGGAGCCAACAAAATGATAGTATTTAGCGGCTTATGAGCCAACCGCTGTGCTCATAGGAGTCTGAAGTCAGGCAATGAGCGTGCTGCTCCCCCTACTGACCAAACTCTATAGCAGGGGTATTTAATTAAAATTCAATAAGGCCCAGTTAGAGAAAATTTCCTCAAGCAAAGGTCCAGAACATCATAATGTCTAACCTGCATTATGATTCAGAGCCATATACTGTTTACTGAAGTAGCCTAGTAGGTATATCAACATCTTATACAGTCAACAACTGAATATCAAACCAAATAAAGTCCAATTCAGTCATATTTCAACAACATTAATTGTCAGTTTTCTGTTTTCAGATCACAACATGTGAAATAACTTCCCTCTGACTCACTTTCTTCTCCGACTGCTGTTTCTTGCCTCATCCCTCCCCTGTGTGTGCGTCACTCACTCGAGTCTCAGTGCTCATCGTAATGCACAGATCTGATTGGCTGAGTAGCGTCACGTGTGATATTTACAATGCATGCGATTGGTCTGCGAGTCTCCCGGGCCGCTAAATCGGTACCATAAAGGCTAGAAATGTTACGCCGATTAACACAGGACCACCCCGTCCAAATTAAATAATTCTCCATAGTTTATCAGTTATAGGTCCAGGTCTGCATAGGACAGCGTCTGGGTCAGGACTCGGACCGCGGTCCACCTATTAGTGACCTCTGCTCTATAGTGTTAAAATTATGACACTGCAAAGGATAAACAAAATGTCTTATGCCGGCCTTATACCAAACGACTTTTCAAGCGATTTCACTGTCGCAGACAAATTTCCAGTGTCGGAATTAAATAATGAGAGTCTTGCTGGAGTTGCGTCGCGCTCACGTCATCTCGATCATTTAGTGTGAGGTGGTCAGGGTGGCTGTCTTAACCCTCTATTGCATGGTGTTGCCATATGGCAACAATTACTTTATCTCAATTTTCCTAAAAAGCAGTAATATAAGATTTGTGTTTTCCTATTTATTGTGGAAAAAGGGTCTTTTACTTTGAAAGTACAAGTCCTTGATGACATCACATGACCAGGAATTTTTATTATGGTGTTGTTATTACCATACATTCCAAATACTGAAATTGTATTAATTTCCAATATTTGTAACTATTGGGTCGTATTTGTTTTTGGATTTGTTTGGTCTTGTTTTCAATAAAATATTTTTAGAGAAAAATTAGATTTTATGGTGCTTTTTTTAGATTTTATGGTGCTATGGTTCAATTGCGCATTGTTGCCATATGGCAACAATTTACCCAATATCCAGCTTAAAAAAAAATAATAATAATATTTTCATGTTTTAAGCAATTTTAAATAACTAAAACACATTAAACATTTTCTATCATGTTTAAGTAATAATTCATGCAATAGAGGATTAACTCAATCTTTTTCTCGTCAAAACCGTGTTTAATATTATCGTAGGTTTTAAGTCTTGGATCATGCAAATAGTGACGCACCGGGGAGCGAGAGAGGGCGAGCAGGCAAGCGCATACTCTCAGCGTGAGAGAGAGAGAGAGAATGCATGCGTGAGAGCCTGAAATCTCTGTAAAAAATTAAATCTGCTCTATTTTAAACCAATAATCATATTGACTTAACAATGTAAACTGTTTAATATTTCAGGTTCACTGAGTGTGTGACTACTGTAAGGAAATGGAGGACTTTAAGAACTGCTTATTGAAGACGCATTTTTTTTTGCTTCCTGTTACACTGGTTTCTTATTTTGTTTGTTTTTTATGGTTTAGTTCATAACACCCAATCACCAATGCTGAATCGCTGCATGTTGTGTTGATGTGTAATCTAGTTGCAGTCTTGCAAATAGTGACACTGCAAGATTTCTAGTCTTTGCAGAATCATAGTCTGTGACTAAAAACTGGAAGTGAGAGAGTGTCAGACTTTAGTCTTTCAAAGTCTTCTAGTGTACGGTTAGCATTAGTTTTTTAGGATGGTAGAATGATGTGATTGTGATTATTTTCCTAAAATAACACATTTTAAATACCATATTATTCCAGTGTATGACACTAGCTGTGTTTTGTGTTGTTTATTTTGTGGTTTATTTTATAGCTTTGATTAACCTCAAACCAGCTGTCGGTGTAGTGCGCGTGTGCATGCACTCATTTTAAGTTCAGATTGAATGTCATTTTTGAACGGAAGTAACCGTAAGCAATGTCCTTCATCAGCTTTCAAAAGGAGCTCAGGCAAAGTCTCTCAAACACACACAGTTTACGTTACATACTCTGAAGGTCGTATCACCATCTCGCCTCTGACCACATGACTTGCTAATCTGAGAACTTTATCACCAGATCCTAATCCGGTTCCACATTGAGAGGAATGTTGCAGTTATTCCCAAATCCTCCAATCCAGGGAGAATCAAAGAAAATTTCCAGGTGATTGTACTGCACTGTATACTCTGAGCTACTGCATGTAATTGTTCATATAAAAAATCAGGCAGTGAATATTGTGTTTTTATACAGGTCTTTGATTTTAAGCTGAGTAAGGAAGATATGAACACCATTCTGAGCTTCAACAGGAACTGGAGAGTTTTTCCAATGGACTGGTGAGTCAAAGCAATGCTGAGACAAGTAGTCTTTATCTTAGTATACACACTATATGGACAAAAGTATTAGGACATCCCTCCTAATTATTGAGTTCAGGTATTTCAGCCATACCCATTGCTAACAGGTGGATAAAATAAAGCACACAGTCATGCAGTGTCGAGAGACAAGCACTGGCAGTAGAGGGTCGTACTGTAGTCCATCTGTTTCCCTGCATACCTTGTTAGCCCCCTTTTACCCTGTTCTTCAGTGGTCAGGACCCCCATGGACCCTCACAGAGCAGGCACTATTTGGGTGGTGGATCATTCTCAGCACTGCAGTAACACTGACATGGTGGTGGTGTGTTAGTGTGTGTTGTGCTGGTCTGAGTGGATCAGATGCACAGTTGGACTACAGTCTGTAATTGTAGAACTACAAAGTGCACCTATATAGTAAGTGGAGCTGATAAAATGGACAATGAGCGCAGAAACAAGGAGACGGTCATAATGTTATGGCTGATCAGTGTATGTAGTCATTTTAATAAAATAGTCTTTTATGTCATTTCTGAACGGCGGCGTATCAGGCGATAAGAAAAATGCTCAGTGAAAAATGTGATGAACTATCTCAAATATGTACGTATAGTAATAGATTTAAACTCTGCCGTGCATCCAATCCACTCTATCTCCAGCTCAGTCATGTACCCACTTCTAGCGGGAATATCAGCTCTTTTCTTTTCTAATTAAACAGTTTTATAAGACCACAAACAGTAGATGTGTTTATTGTGACAAAATCACAATCAGAGAAGTTTTACAGCTGTATCATAGAAGACTGTCCTGCACACAGTGTTAGTACAGCACAGGAGCTGCTCTGAAACCACCACACCAGCATCAGCACATTTTAGTAAATACTATTTTAAATCTAGTTTAAAACGCTGTAGAAGGTGGCAGTGGGTATTTGACTGGATCTCTAGGGAGGTTATGCCTCAGTCACACACAAGTGAACCAAACATCACTGGTTGAAAGAATCCGTGTTTTCATGGAGGTGAGATTCATGTCTGGTGCAGCCGGTGTGACTGAAACACTGATTAAAATGGAAGCGTATCTGTTCCGTCAGAACTAAAAATACTTCTAATATTACTGTTTTTAAGGGTGATTTTGAGAACCAGTCTTTAAGTACTCATTTAGAAAATATCGACGAGCATTCAGAGCCTGTAAAATGTCATTTGAGCCAGCATTAGAGACGAGTACTGATAAGGAGAGCAGAGTAGGTGTTTTTGTTTCTTTTTTGATCTGTTTGAAACTCACTGGTTCTCTTATCCTTTCATTTAGGGCTTCTAAGCACAAGGACTACCCACTGAACGCAGAGTACTGAGCCCCTCAGCTGCACAGCCTGGACGTTCCTTCTGTTCCACAGTCAAGTGAAAACATCATGTAAACCAGGAAATCATTTTGGTAACATTTTCTATGATGCCTGTATTGTGATGCTTTGTAACATTGGTAACAATGTATCATTAATCATATTTATAAACTCTTTATAATGCTTCATAAGGCTCTATAATTAATTCTTTAGTGACTTATAAACATGCCATGCGATGAACTGGTGTGTCCTGCTTTACGCCCAATGACAGCTAGGATAGGCTCCCAGCTGGGGCTTATGCTACTGTGCACCCCCCGTGACCCAGTAGGATAAGCGGTTTAGGAAAGTGTGTGTGTGGGTGTGTGTTTGTGTGTGACTTATAAACAAGTAGTAACACTAGTGACACTATCCAATTTTAATGCCTTTTAATTGGATGAGTTATGCATAATTATAAAGCACTTATAATACTTATTAACAATTCTAAAAACATTATAAACATTTAAAAAGCATCACTGAGTGCCTCAAGTAAGTGACCCAATTTACCTTTCAAGCTATCGCAGCTGAACTTGCAATAATTAAAGATATACAGTATATATTATAGTGCACACTGTTAATAAGTTAAATGTTAATAAGTATTATAGGTGCTATATTATTATGTCCACTTCATTGTCTGTATAAATGCATTATAATGGATAGTGACATGTTACTACATGTTTACAAGTCAACAAAGAACTCATTATAGTACATCATTACAGCCTTATGAGGCATTATAAGAGTTTATAAGTATGCTTACACAGTATTGTTACCAGGTTAGAAAGAGTTATAAGCACATTTATTACTATTTTTGAATACAGACCCCAGAAACTGTCCTTGCTTAACTGTGTTGTGGTGGAGACACTACACTCACTGAATAATAACACTGTCATGCCTGAAGGGTTTCATTTATTCACATTATAGACCACTTTTAAACAACCGTGTTACTTTATTTTTAAATATATATGATGTGGAAGTGGCTTTTACACATATGAGAAATTTAAATGCCATATAATGATTAATACCATCTTTATTAGAGAAATAAAAATGTGTTTTTCATTATTCACCAGCTGTTAATCTTTTTAAAAACTTGTTTTTAATATACAGCATTTTGGAATGAAACCCTTTAAATATTAAAGGTTGTAAAGGGGCCTTATCCTAATTTTTTGGTTGTTTTCTCTCCCCCTGACATGCACCTTTGACGTTTATAAGAGTTTACGTACCAAAAACAAATTAAAAGTCATAATTCATTTCTACATGACCTTTTTCAAACCTCTCTTCATGACTCAGACTGAAACAGGCTGTGTTCATTACTGTACCTTAAAGAGTGAGTTATGAATCTGATTTAGTCTTGATAATGTCAGTGTGAATGGGCGGGGCTGAAGTGCTTTAAGCTGAATAGGATATATGTAAATGAGCTGACATCAAATAAAACAAATTCAAAACAGGCTTTTTTACATATTAGCTACAATTGAATTTCAACAATGCTTACATGAAATGAGACGACGGTAGTAACTAGTTATTTTTACTCAGTTCATGTATTTAAGTAGAACACTGATGGATTTGTGCTCTCCTGAGTATTTTCACATCATAATACTTTTACTTCTACTTCTACTCAAGTAGATTAGTGAGTAAAGGTATAGAATTTTTACTCAATTACTTTTTCATTCATATTTAGTTATTTTTATGTGTTTTATTTCATAGTTTTGTTGGTAACAACATCTGTACTGCTTTGTGACTGATCACATTTCTCACTTTTGGAGCTTCAGCAATTCATTCCTAAAAAGAACAGAGCCGTACAGTCTTCAGTTCCGGAGCCGAAAGATGCTGAATTTACTGAGAGGTTCCACTGCAGTTCTAGACGTTACTCAGTACTGAAGTTTTGTCCTGACACTTCTGTACTTTTATTCAAGTTGATTTTTAGGAAGGTACTTTTACTTCAACATGTCATTATTTTACTCAAGTAACAATACTTTACAATACTACAGTCCATCCATCCATCCATCAAACAAAAAAATAAACAAACAAATAAATAAAGTGTTATGCCCTTTAAATGAGCAGAGGTTAAAACATAACTGTGTAACGACACAGTTTGCATTCAAACACGGTTTTTATGAGTTGGTGAGCTCGTCAAAGTCGTTTCATGAGTAACACGACATTTTCACACTGAAGAATAAACGGCAGAAACTGATTGAGGCATTGGCTTCATTTTGAATATTATATAAAACTAATTTTATTTTATAGCCAAGAACTCAGAGGAGTTTTTCACAGTTTGCAAAGCTGGAAGAGCTGAATCATTCCAGAAAACAGGGAGTGTTCAAACAAAGCCAAAACAGACAACATATTGCCAAGAATGCAAATGTTCAAATACACATTCCTGTGTAGCCGTATTTCACACATATTCATTTGAAGGGTAACCTCTTTATTCGTAAGTGCTTCGTTAATTGGAAACAAAGTATGGAGCACAACAGCCTGGAGAAATAACGTCCATATCCACTCTAAAGAACCTCAGTAACTTATTCAGTAACAACTTTCTTAGCAGTAACTCATTTGATTCAGTGAGAAACACTTTGATTTGTACTTTTCTGCACTTGTTTTGATCTGTTCTGGTGTCTCTTGGTAACATAAACTATTTTCATTTTTTTCTGTGTTTTGTCAGAGAGAGGATGCATGAAAAGGGCAGATCACTTCATCTGTCTGACAACCTCATTTCCTTTTTAAAGGAACAACATTTTTCCCTCCAAATACCTTTTCTCAGTTATGCACTATATTGCCAAAAGTATTTGCTCACCCATCCAAGTCATTGAATTCAAGTGTTCCAGTCACTTCCATGGCCACAGGTTTATAAAACCAAGCTCCAAGGCCTGCAGACTGCTTCTACAGACATTAGTGAAAGAATGGGTCGCTCTCAGGAGCTCAGTGAACTCCAGTGTGGTACCGTGACAGGATGCCACCTGTGCAACAAGGTCGTGAAATTTCCTCGCTACTAAATATTCCACAGTCAACTGTCAGTGGTATCATAACAAAGTGGAAGCGATTGGGAACGACAGCGACTCAGCCACGAAGTGGTCGGCCACGTAAAATGACAGAGCGGGGTCAGCGGATGCTGAGGCGCATAGTGCGCAGAGGTCACCAACTTTCTGCAGAGTCAATCGCCACAGACCTCCAAACTTCATGTGGCCTTCAGATCAGCTCAAGAACAGTGTAGAGAGCTTCATGGAATGGGTTTCCATGGCCGAGCAGCTGCATCCAAGCCTTACATCACCAAGCGCAATGCAAAGCGTTGAATGCAGTGGTGTAAAGCGCCGCCACTGGACTCTGGAGTAGTGGAGACGTGTTCTCTGGAGTGACCAATCACGCTTCTCCATCTGGCAATCCGACGGACGAGTCTGGGTTTGGCGGTTGCCAGGAGAACGGCACTTGTCTGACTGCATTGTGCCAAGTGTAAAGTTTGGTGGAGGGGGGATTATGGTGTGGGGTTGTTTTTCAGGAGTTGGGCTCGGCCCCTTAGTTCCAGTGAAAGGAACTCTTAATGCTTCAGCACCAAGAGATTCTGGACAATTTCACACTCCCAACTTTGTGGGAACAGTTTGGGGACGGCTCCTTCCTGTTCCATAAAGACGATGAGCGAGTTTGGTGTGGAAGAACTTGACTGGCCTGCACAGAGTCCTGACCTCAACCCAATAGAACACGTTTGGGATGAATGAGAGCGGAGACTGTGAGCCAGGTCTTCTCGTCCAACATCAGTGTCTGACCTCACAAATGCGCTTCTGGAAGAATGGTCAAAAATTCCCATAAACACTCCTAAACCGTGTGGAAAGCCTTCCCAGCTGAGTTGAAGCTGTTATAGCTGCAAAGGGTGGGCCGACATCATATTAAACCCTATGGATTAAGAATGGGACGTCACTCAAGTTCATATGCGTGAGAAGGCGCACACACACACACACACACATCATCTAAACCGCTTATCCTTCTGGGTCGCGGTGGGGTGCTGGAGCCTATCCCAGCTGTCATTGGGCGGAAGGCAGGATACACCCTGGACAGGTCGCCAGTCCATCGCAGCGTGTGACGGCAGATGAGCGAATACTTTTGGCAATATAGTGTATCTACAGTCGTTTGCAAAAGTTTGGGCGCCCCTAGACGAATTCCATGTTTTATTGATTTCTTAAGTGAAAAGAAAGTGCATCCTCCACAGAGAACACACTTCTGCACATTTTAGTGCACAATTAGTTTATCTGCAGAACTGAACATAAAAAAAAAACAAAACTGTGGCCTGTTCAAAAGTTACACGTTGTGTATTTTATGTTTTTATTTGAACTTCAGCAAATAATCAGTAATTCTGTACTAAAATGTGCAAAAGTGTGTTCTCTGTGGAGGACGAGGTTATCTTCACTTAGAAAATCAACAACAACATGGAATTTGTTCAGGGGCGCCCAAACTTATACAACAGTAAAACAATGGGATTTCTTTGGTAGATTTTATAGAGGAACATCAGGAAGTAAACTCTCTCTTTTTCATGGGAGTGGGGTTATGACATGAGTTTCAACCTGAATATCAAATAAATTCAGTAACTACAAATTCTAGAACTATAAGCTTTCTGTATGGGAGTGTATGGGAGTACAAATGTGACCGAGTGGCCACTGGTGATCTTACTTTACGTAAACATATATTTTCTCCATGCAGACATAGAGAACTTTCAAAAACCTCTTTTATTCTTCCAAAATCAAAACCACTGAAATATCATCACAGACCACCGGAAGAGTAAACGCCCTTTGCTCTGCCAGATCTCCACGAAAACCACAGATTGGGGGAAAATGTAAAGAAATCAGAAAGAACTGGAGTTGAAGCTTTTAGGCAGCATCTTGAACGAGACCTCTTCCCTTTTAATACTCAGCATTAAATGGATAGTCTCTGTGCTTCACACCCCTGCAGAGGAAACACAATAAAAACATTATTAACCAGGAGAAAAATCTGAATCCTTACTTTAATTGTCCTTGAATAATTACTTAAGGGTCCAACTTGTGGAGGCACTACATGGCCAAAAGTATGTGGACACCCCTTCTATTTAGTAGGTTCAGCCCCACAGTGGTAAGTCGCCCGTCCATCGCAGGGCAGGCATTCAAAACCAGTTTTTGTAATTTAATATACAGGGTGACTCAAAAAGATTCATCTGATTTCAAGTGCCATATTTTTACAACTGTGAGGCGCCGAGGAACCACTCCCAACAACACTGGATGATCTTCGAAATCGCAGTGAAAGAGCTGTGAGTGCAGTGACACCCGACATGCTCAATTGAGTTTGACTATGGCTGATGTTGTCCGTACAGCTGGAGGAGCTCATACTGAGCACAATTACATAATAAACTTTATTCTCACTTAAACTATTTACAGTTTACTGCATTGTTCTGTAATGATTTACAAGTAAAATAAATCAATTTAAATCATCAGATGAATCTTTTTGAATCACCCTGTATTTCCACTGCATATTTCCACTTCAAATTCACACACAATGTATTCTGACTTTGTACTCATAAATATGAGCACAAGTTATGTATTCATCAGCAAAAACAAAGATGTTTAAAAATATTTTAAAAGCACTGATAGTGAAAAAAGTATTCAGACATTACAAATTCTTTTGCAAAGCTGTTTACAATTACAGCTTTGAGACGTCTACAGTAAAAAGTAATCAGCTTTTTGCAGCGCTGTTGTTCAGTTTTGGCCCATTCCTCTCAGCAAACAGTCGTCAGCTCCCCAAAGTTACGAGGGTGCCTCTGATAGCTCAAACACTCAGCCCTTCTTTCTCCAAACACGATGAGCTGAATTACTGCCTAACTTCTGTTTATGTTGCGTCTGATCAGAGAACACTGTTCCGAAGCAGTTCTGATTTGTCTAAATGCTGGTGGGTAAATTTTAGACACTCATCTCTGAGCTTCTTGTTTATCAGAGGAGTTTAGTGTGGGGTGTAGACGCCTGGATGGAGTGCTGTAAAGTATTGTGCTTGGTGATGTGAGGCTTGCATGGAGCTGCTCAGCCAAGAAACTCATGCCAAGAAGCTCAATTTTTGTGCTGAAGTTAAAACCAGAGGAGGTTTGGAACTCTGCAGTTATTGAGTCAGCAGAGCGTTGGTATATTAAAGCAATAAGCCACGAGAGGCCGTGGGTTACTGCGGATTTATCACGGGGAAGGTGTTCTTTGGCACGACGTGAAGCAGAGCACCTAAACTCCCTTCCCCGTGATAAAATCGCAGTAACCCACTGCCTCGAGTGGCTTATTGCTTTAACAAAAACGGCGGCCAACACAAAATATATTCAAACAATGTTTTAGATTATTATTTAAGTTGTTATTAATAACAACCGACATAAACAAGTATTCCGCCTAGAAATGAAGTTCCTTTAGAGTACGGTAATGTTGCTAAGCAACCATTGACCGCTGAATGAATGAGGAGAAGAACGTCCGGTCGCCAATCACTGTAAACTGCAGACATTTCATGATTTTTAAAACTTTTTTCATATAACAGTGAACATATGATAACACAGCACTGTTTAATGCAAAAACTATCAGTTTATAAGAACTTTTGGTCACCAAATTACCACCGCGAGTCTCTGCCAGTCTGACGGCGCCACTTTTCTCACACTGGGGCTGAATCTCAAATGGCTCCCTGCTCCCTACATAGTGCACTACGTAGGAATTTAAATACTGACTCCTGCAGAACAACAGTGCAAAATATAGCTAAAAACGGTCATTTGGGATTCATCTACATTCATACTCGACAGGCAGTGCATTATTTGACACCAGAAGCTAAAATTTCTAAATTTAATGTTACACAGCTCACTAATTAGCTAGGGAGTATGGAGCTGTTTGGGATTCAGCCTGGGTTTGACGCAACTTCTGACTGAAACACAGACATTTGAAGCGTGTAAGACATTTTGTATGTGTGTGTGTGTGTGTGTGTGTATGTGTGTGTGTGTATATATATATATATATATATATATATATACACACATACACACACACACACACACACACACACACACACACACACACACACATACACACACTTATGTTCTAAATCTATGTTTGTTTTTGCTTCTGAATACAAATTTTTTGCTCATATGTATTAATATAAAGTCCAAATACATTGTGTGTGTAAATGTGAATTGGATATTTGCATTAGAAGTATATTAAATAACAGCAAAAGTATCTGAATACTTGTTTCCACTCACTGTAATTGCGGTTATTGTTAAGTGGAAATGTACAGAAGCAGCAACAGCTCAGTGTGGTAGGCCACACAAGTTCACAGAATAGAACTGCAGAGTAAGCTTGTTACAGGGCCACGGTCAGTCACGGTGTATGATAGGATGCCAACCCTTTGGGATGAGTGGGAGTGGCCTTTGTGACCTAGAACTAATAATCCAACATCACAGGCTGTTACTGCAGCCAAGGCAACTCCATATTAATGACCATGATTTTGGAGTGGGATGTTCAGGAAGCTCAGACAGGGTGGATGTTCAGATGTCCATATACTTGTGGTCGTGCTGTATATATGTCTTGAGTTTGATATTGTGCACTGAATAACAAACTCACCACTGCATGGGACAAACCCTGAAGTTCCTGTTGAAGCCTAGAATGGTCTTCATCTCATCATCAGTCAGGTTGAAGTCAAAGACCTTTGGACATGAATAAATAAAGTAATAATGAGTTTGAACTATTCAGCATTAAGAGATCCAAGACTTCTGGAACTTTACTGTTCTGGGAGATGAGCTTACTTGAAAGTTGTCCTGGATGCGTGAGGGAGTGACAGACTTGGGTATCACAACGACGTTTCTCTGGATTTGGAAGCGTATGAGGACCTGCGAGGCGTTTTACGTGGAACAAAAAAAAGGACATTTTAAATCCCACTTTAGCCCACTTGAAATGCAAAGCACACTGAAGCTTTCAGCAGCAGAGGACTTTGGCCTAGTTTATTTCCACCATTGCTTTCCTGTGAAATGGTTGATTGTAGAAAATCACATTTTTATTCTCACTTGAACAATGGAATGTTTGTGACTCTACAAAATGATACAGTGGTGGTGATAGGAACCAGGCGTCACCATCACTACAGTACAAATATTGCCATTTTATTTACCATCCAAAAACACCAGCGAACCTACACGAGTCTTCTGATGACAACAGAATAATGGAAAATCAGAAAAGGCCAAAAAGCTTCTCTAAAAAATATCTCAGTCATCAGGGAGTAACTTTCTGTGAGGGAGCTTTTAGAGGTGGACGTCTGGTTCCTATCACCACCACTGTGAACAGTTCTGATTGTACGTTTCTCTAGAACAGAGCGTTTCACACCAAACCAGTCTGAACGACTCTGTTTACATCTTAATTGTTTAATTATTCAGAAAATTGGGGAAATCGGTGGAGTTCCCCTTTATTAGGAACAGTCAGGGTGTGTGAGGTCATGTTACACTGCCAGTGGGCCTCATGCTGGTTTCTGGTTTGGATCTATAGATATTTGCTTGACCAGACTTGCGTTTGGTCCGATATCTTTTTTCTGAGGCCGTTTGGTCTGACGGCGTTTGGTCTGATGTTCAGTTTTACCAGATCTGAGACCTGATGGTGGTTTTCCCGAGACTCAAAGACGTTTAGCTTGAGGAACGATGCTGTTCTGACTCTGAGGTCTGAGGATGTCCTAAAATGTACCCCGTAGCCCCGCCTAGTGCTAATTAACATATATTTGCATGTTGGTCCATTTGAAAATGGAAAAGCAAAGTGGGAAATGAAAGGTACATCACCAGCAGGTGGCGCTGATGTTGAATTGCATTTGCCTTTTCATTCTGACACTTAAAGCGCGTCGACGCCGAAAACTGAATCACAAACTGTCACTTTGCTGTTGATTTATCCATTTTGCATTTTCATTTTGTTGGATATGAAGCCGATTGCTGTGAAAAAGAAATAAGAACTTAAACATTGCAATTTGATTTTAGTTTTGACGCGTATTACGCATTTCATGAAGAAAAGCCAAAGTGAAGCTTGTATTTTCTTTTCTTTATTAGCTTTTCCATTTTAGATACGCCCATGAAATACCAGAATAACGACTAACATGAAATTACAAACAGCTGTTTTAAATTTATTTTTATTTTTGTCACAAATGGCTCGGGCTTATGTGAAAAATGAAATTGCAAATGTAGGTATTTCATTTTCATTTTGGCAGAATATTTGCGCACATGTTTGGAAAAAGAAATGGCAAAAAGAGGTTTGCGTTTACATTTTATTGTTTTAATTTTAATTTCGATTTTTGGCCGGATTTGCCTCCCATAGAAAATGTGCATACAGTCATTAACACACTCAAACTTTCACTCTGATTGCACTTTTCTGTTTAACACAAACAATATTTATCAAGTAGTAATAGCAATTATCATTTTTCTTTAACCAGTACAACTCAAAGGCAGACACAATGGGTATCAGCTCACTCTGCTGAAACTCAGGTGCTGTGTGTGATGGAGGTCAAGGTTCTGCTTTAGCTCAGAGCTCTGACCATTAAAAGAAGCAAACAAACCAATAACAACCATGACCTCTGATGTGAGAGACAGCGTTACTGTTAATGTGCACATTTCCAAAATGTGCCTCTCTTTTTTAACATCAATTCATCATTTTTTTTATGTGTAAAACTCAGAATCTGTGTGCCTTGGACTTTGTCGCCCCCTCTAGCACTACTGGAAACTGTCCTAGATGTAAAATATCTGTGGTTCACCGATCAGACATAACATTCTGACCACCTCCTTGTTTCTACACTCATTGTCCATTTTATCAGCTCCACTTACTATATAGGTGCACTTTGTAGTTCTACAGTTACAGACTGTAGTCCATCTGTTTCTCTGATACTTTGTTAGCCCCCTTTTACCCTGTTCTTCAGTGGTCAGGACCCCCATGGACCCTCACAGAGCAGGTACTATTTGGGTGGTGGATCATTCTCAGCACTGCAGTAAAACTGACGTGGTGGTGGTGTGTTAGTGTATGTTGTGCTGGTACGAGTGGATCAGACACAGCAGTGCTGCTGGAGTTTTTAAACACTGTGTCCACTCAATGTCCACTCTATTAGACACTCCTACCTTGTCGGTCCACCTTGTAGATGTAAAGTCAGAGACGATAGCTCATCTGCTGCTGCACAGTTTGTGTTGGTCATCCTCTAGTCCTTCATCAGTGGTCACAGGACGCTGCCCACAGGACGCTGTTGGCTGGATGTTTTTGGTTGGTGGACTATTCTCAGTCCAGCAGTGACACTGAGGTCCAAACTCCAGCAGCACTGCTGTGTCTGATCCACTCAGACAAGCACAACACACACCAACACACCACCACCACGTCAGCGTTACTGCAGTGCAGTGTTGTTTGCAGTCTCCTTACCTGAGCAGTGGTCTTATTGTACTTCTGGGCAATGGCCTTGATGTCTGGCTCCTCCAGCAACGAAGGGTCCTCTGGTTTGGCCCTGATGTGGGAAACGTAGATGACCAACATTAATTCTCTCTTCATCTGAGCCTTTTACAGTGAGATCTATAGTTCTGTTACAAAAGTGGATGATAAAATCTATGGCTAATTAAATACAAAACAAATAGGTGTGTTATGAGGCTATGAGATAGCAGGTAAAAACAAAAATTCTAAAAAATTCTCAAATTCTAAATTATAATTCCTACTAGTAGTACATTTCAGTTTTGATGTTAGATTTAATTTTTTAAGTCAAATTTAATTTATTTAAGTTTAAATCACAAAGAATGCAACAACTCATTTATTTAAATCCTGATCTGGCCTCGAGCATTGTTGTTCTAGAACTTTCTGGCTCTGTTCTAGCTCCTCCCCTACATCATTCTTTTCACCTGTGTCTTGTTGTCAGATCATCTTCATGTCTGTAAACAGTGACTGTTGTGTTATTGTCCTTTCGAAACGTCATGCACTGGCAAATCTGTGATTCTGTTCCCTGTTTTCTGGTTCCCGTTTCTAGTTTCTCACGCATTTGTAGTAGTTTCCATTGTCTTTTTCTGCTTTATGGATTATCTCATGTTAATTGTAACATTATTGTAAAATTATCATAAAAAACAAAGTCTCATGAATTAAGCAATGCATTTCTAACCACTTCATGTGATAAAGTTCTTTGAGGGAGCTTTTAGAGGCATTTAACACCTTGGACGTCTGGTTCCTATCACCACCACTGTAAAGAAATCTTAGTTGCTAAGTTTCTTTACCTTAGCACATTTCACATCAAACCATTCTGAAGGACTTTAAATTAAGTGACCCTTATTAGTAACTGAAACACCACATATGCACTAGTGAATACACATACACTAGGGGGCAGTGAGACACTTGCCCGGAGCGGTGGGCAGCCCTATCCACGGCACCTGGGGAGCAGTTAGAGGTTAGATGTCCTGCTCAAGGGCACTTCAGTCACGTACTGTCGGCTTAGGGGATCGAACCGTCGCAGGGCTGGTTCCCTAACCTCTGGGCTGGTTTCCGGTCACAGGGCTGGTTCCCTAACCTCCAGCCCATGACTGTAAAATGTTCACATCTTAACTCTCTAATTATGCAGAAATTTAGAAAATGGATTTAACATTACACTACAACAGACTACAACACAGAGGTAGCTGCAGTGGAATTATTTAGTCTATTGAGTTCAACAACTATAGAATTACAAGTCGTACAGTTTATTTATTGAAAATCTGTTTCTGATACCAAGATCAACAAATCAACGTGTACAAAATTAGACATCTCCTTTTGAGACCCCACAGCTAATACAAACAGGCCAGCTCCATTATAGCGCATAGTGCTTGGACCCCGATGATCACCATTTGCAGCATAATGTGTTGACAATAGTTTATCTCTTATAGCAGCTACTGTCCACAGAAATAAAGGTGTTATATATCAGCTTCAGATGGAAACTGAAAAGGAAGCTGACTGTCTTGGATTGTAACAATTATAATTTTCCCCTTTTTTTCTCCTACTGTTTGAAAGATTGCCCTGCGATGGACTGGCGACCTGTCCAGGGTGTATCCTGCCTTCTGCCCGATGACAGCTGGGATAGGCTCCAGCGCCCCACCGCGACCCAGAAGGATAAGTGGTTTAGAGGATGTGTGTGTGTGTTTGAAAGATACTGAGAAAACAGTATCTGACTATATAAAAATTAAACTTCACCGCGCACTAAACGTGGCTCTCTGTTCACTTTTCAGCAGCGTCATCTTAGTCCTGACAGCGAATTTCTACAAATGGTGAATGTATATCAATTAAAAATTAAAAAGTACGAGAAAACAGTCAGTCAAAATCACTTTTTTTTTTCAGGTGATCAAAGCCGTCCCTGCAGCCGCTGTTGCTTAAACTGTTTCATGTTTTAGGACTGTTCTGTGCAATTTCACTTCCTCGTAAGCAGAATTTATTGCTTAGCCAAGCAACCTTAAACTTTAAAGTTCTGTCTAACTCTGGATTTGCTCATGATGGTGGATTGCTGCCCAACTAACCTGCTCTGGGCAGTTTAGTCAGGAATCCTCAGGGCCTTCAGAAGGTCTAATGTTGTCTGGAAACTACATGTCTATAATTTTTAATTAATTTTTCTTCTGGAAGTTCTAGATATGTCACTGACTGAATACGAGCGGCAGCTTGTTCAGTAGGTTGTTAGAAATGGAAAACAAGAATCTGGTGAATATCTGACTTCAGCTTCATATCACTGAAGAATTAGGGGTGGGTGATAATAAATAATTGCCCCCCTCTTTAAAAGCATATGATTCCCTAAATGTAACTAAAGCCCAGCAGTGAAGAGCTGAACTTTACCCTCCTCTGCTGTCACTGCAGACTGGCAGGGTCGCCTACAGAGCAGCGCTGGTAGCTGTTAATGAAGTGATGCTCTTTTTATTTGAGGGTCCCATTTCAGAGGGAAGATTTCAAATCTGGGTGACACTCAAAAACAAGGGGTAGGGGTAAAAAAATAAGAAATGGGACTGGGCCTTTAAGTTAACGCAGCCCTGATTTTTATAGGCCATCAACTATCCATTTGTTTACATAAAATAAAAACACCAAACGAAAAAAATGCACAGCAACCATCATCACAGTCTGACGAGAAACAACACCTACCATGGTCTATCAGGAGAGCCCAGTGGGCTGTACGCAGTCACTGTGATCCCCTTAGACTGACAGAAGTTGATCAGCTTCTCCTGCGTCAGGTAGGGGTGGCACTCAATCTGAATAAAATAAACAAATTTATTTTATAATTTTATTTTAAATATTTTGGTAAGCATTTGCTGATTCACTTCCATCAGACTGAGACACAAAATTTAAATGGTAACATTTTATAATAAGTGGCCCTAATAAACAACAATTTAATCATTATCTAATAATTTGTTAATGGCTGTTAATAATGATATATTAGTTAGATATGCATTAATATTCTACATTTTGTTTTATTTTATATTTTCCCCTAAAGTACTCTTATACTATGTGAGCTTTTATGCACCAAAAACAGACATAATTCAAATTTCCATGACCATTTTTCAACCCATTATTATCCCCTATAATTTAACAGGCTGTTTCTTTTACTCTGTATGTGTAAATGACCTCTGTTTTGACTGTCTCATTCAAAAAGCACTCACATATGAAAAGATCAGTCTACTCTAAAGATATAGTTATTTATACTAATATAAATATAGTTATGTATACTAATAACTGATATATGGCTGTAAATATTAAGTACATGCATAAAATCAATATATATATATAATAATCAGTATTAATAACTAATGATTGTCTAGGTCTTGTTTTATCTTGCTACTGTGATAACATTTTCCTCAATGCTTGTTTAATCATTTAGTTGTTAATACATAATTTTTTAAATATTTATAAGCATTAATTGGACCCCGAATATGAAGTTGTGACATTACAATATGTTTATAACTATGTATTGTATCATTTATTATTTGCAGTGCTGTATTTATGTAAGTGTTAATGGTTAATTATTGCTATTTACAGGCGCCTGTTATTATATAGTGTTACTGTTTAAAGCAGCATTATATAATATCTTTTGCTAAAACAGAAGCATTAATACTTATGGAGTAAAAAGAACACACTAAAATATGGTGAGTGTGCGCTGCGGTGAGTCGCCCTGTAAAGCCTGAAATAATCTTTTAAAAGTCAGAGGTACCAGGACAGATTTGGCAGGAGTTTTCCAGACCACATCATACGTCTTTATGCATCGACCACTGTAGTCGTGTCGTTATTTTGTAGTCGCCATGCTCTTATGCCCATATTAGGAGCTCCGGGTCTGAGCTCCGTTTCTCTATGGCCAGAATGAATAGGGTTTTTGAAAAGTCACCTCTATCGCCCCCCTGTGTTAAATAAACATGTTCAGAGCCCGACACGTTCTGTCCTGTGAACATTCTTCTCTCGAATACCGCTGGATCCTCTGAATTACGAGGTTGTTAATGCTGGTAACATTTTTCTGAGGACATTTTCTCAGGACATTCGCCAGCTTTTTGTTTGACTTTTCCTGTTCCACCTTAAATGGTGCAGCAGTCACGTTCTGAAATGCTGCACCATTTAAGGTGGAACGGGGAAATTCGAACAAGCAGCCAGTGAAAAAGAAGCCGACTTCAGCTTCATGGAGGGTTGAAAGGCCTGATATGAAGAGGTTTCTCCATTTCCGCTGAACAGCTGAGTAACATTAACATATTTTTGCTGTTTCACAGAACTAACAGGTGAGTATTTTGTCTCGTTTGCTAATGTTTGTGATAGCTAGTCACAGATGCTGCCCTATTTAAGGTGGAAAAGAAGCTAAATTCAGCCTCGTAGTTTTAATGCTGGTAGTATTTTTTGGTAAGGAGTTTTAGCCTCAGAATATCCTACCCACAGCAAAAATCGGCATTATACCGATGAAGATCTGATGACAGTAGTAGATAATTCACTCACATTCTTAGACGTGTTCTCTTCAAATACTCTTTCAACGTACTCACAAAAGTCGGATTCATCCACTTGTGAGGCTCTGAAGCAAAACTGACTTTACAAAATGTTCTTTTTCACATTGCGTGCAATTACATAATTCCACCAGAGAGGACTCCAAATCCCCAAAACTTATATAGTGTTGCTTTAAATTTAAATCTAATACAAGACTGGAACATAGGCTATGTTGGAAGGTTTCACCCATTCCAGACAAGAGAAAGCACATTAGGGAAGCAACAGGATTATAAAGCTTGCTGTGGGCAAAAGGCTGCTTATTAGGTACAACATGGCCCTTGTCTGAGGATCTGTCACAGTAAATAAGAGTCAGAGTGCGCTGTAACAAGGTTAAAGCCACTGGCCTTTCTGCTTTCTACTGCCTTTCGAAAAACAGCAAAAGCACAATGAGGAAAATGCTTTTGTACTTGCACATCTTTTCCCCTTCACCCTTATAAACTATGTACAGTGTACAATGATCAAGTTATATTTAATTTTGTTTAAAAACAAAAATCTTCAGACGTCTGGTTCCCATAAATTTCTCTATCATGCAAAGTCTATCTATCATACCCAGTCAATACAGTCAGTTTTAGCCTGGACTGCTTGTAGAATGATGCACAATACGGGGCAGCCAATTAGAATAAAGCTCAGTTACATACTGTTTGTCAGTCTTAAAGGTACTGTAACAAAACAGCCTGTTTAATTTTAAGGAATAAAAATTGTTTTTGGTACATAAACCACATAAATGTCGTCAGTGGACCTTGAGGGAAAAATATAAATACAAAAAAGACCACTCTGAATGACCGTGTACGCAGATCTTCTGACAAATCAGTGGAATTTCCCTTTAAGGACCTGTGATAGGTACGAGTACCCACCTGGTGGTTGGCAGGTTTGTACTTGAGGCCTGGCTTGTTCAGGATGGCTTCAATCTGCTCTCGGTTGAAGTTGGAGATGCCGATGGCCTTGACCAGCCCAGCGTCCACCAACTCCTCCATACCCTTTAACATCAATATCAGTGCACTGAGACGTAGCAGAAACACCGAGAATAATTCTGACCTAGAAACTGTAAGAGCAAAATCAAACAATAAGCCATAAGTAATCATTTCCTCACCTCCCAGGTATCCAGGAAATGGGTGTCATCGTTGATAGTTAAGCCTTCACTGTCCAGAGGGAACATTTCTTTCCCAGCCTGAGAAATTACAGTTACAATAAAAACAACTGTGTTACAGAAGCATCAGCCAGCTAAAACATCACTTTGTATGGCTCTACACTCTTAGCAAAAGACGATCTATACAACACAATACATCTTTTACTTGTAACAATAATAGAACTCTTTTTGATGCAGTATTTAAAACAATTTTTCAAATGTTTCTTCAAAGAGTCATACAGAACACACAGTTAATCATGGTGAAAAACGTTTAATATGCATTAAAGCATTTAAAGGTGCAGTGTGTAAGGTTTTGGGGGATCTATTAGTTAGCAGAAATGGAATAAAGTAAACAAAAACCATGTGTTAATTAGTGTATAATCACCAGTAACCATGAAATATTGTGTTTGTGTTGCGCTCCCTTCATTGGCTTTCCGTAGCTGCACACATCAGATTTAAAACCTACAAAAGCCAAAAACAGACCAGCCCCTCCCTACTTGATGGCAATGGTCAAAACTCGAACTGTACCTCGAGCCCTTTGAGCTTCGAGTACAGCTCGGCTCGACCCGCCATCGTTCATGATGCGTGGAAGACAAGCAGCAAGACTTTTCTCTGTTCTGGAGCCCAGGTGGTGGAACCAACTCCCACTGGCTGTCCGAACAGCAGAGTCTCTCGTGGTCTTCAAACGCAGACTGAAGACCGTCTCTTTATACAGCACTTAAATGAGCACTGAGTTAAGTATTGATTGTAATGTATTGTACTGCACTTATGTATTGTATTGTATTGTATTGCACTGCTCTGTGTTTAACTCTGTTCCTTTTTCTCTGGGTGTCAATAATGACTTTCTGATTCCAGCAGTATCTGAGCTCAGGACTGACCTTCTCTCTAACCTATCGGTAGCTAGCAAAGATACTTTCTCTAGATAGACAAAGCACTTTTTGGAAGTCGCTCTGGATAAGAACATCTGCTAAATGCTGTAAATATAAATGTGTTTTTGTTAGCTTAGAATGAGCCCTTCATATCTACATAGGGAGTGGCTTCTCTTCCAAAAGAGGCCGCCACATTGCGCCGCCATGTTTCTACAGTAGCCCAGAACAGACAAATCTCTGTGCCCTCCGTGTTTTGATGCTGAAACGGCAGCTTGAACTTGGTGGCGCTGTAGCTCCGGCAGGAAGACACTAGAAAGAAGAAGAATCCGTGGTTGCTGCTGGCACTGCTGACCATTTTGTGCTGTGAGGAGTTTGACAACACAATTTTTGACAAATGGAGGTTCAGACTTATTATTTAGCACAAGAAAAAGCGAGGGAGGGTGAATCCTCACCGTCAGAGAAGAGAAAACATGAAGAAGCAAAATGAAATAGGGACAGACGGCAGAAAATCTGATGACATGGTAAAACATAGTAGGGTGTTTCTGCAACTACAGGCACCTTTTTTCATTATTTGCATGAGCTAAAAACTGCATATTATTTAAAAAAAGTTATTTTTTATTTTATAGCAACATAGCAACATAACATTATATAAAGACATTTTCACTGGTTTGGCTGATGACCACCGCAGGATCTACTACATGCTTGGAAAGGGAGGGGTGAGGGAGGGGGAATCAGTTGCTTGCAATCTGCAACCTCGCCACTAGATGCCACTAAATCTTACACAATGCACCTTTAAGTGGTTCAATCTATCTATATTATTCTGGTTAGTTCGTCACCAGTCACCTGAAAGCCCATTGGCCAGTGAATCAGGTAAAGGTCTAGGTAATCCAGCTGCAGGTCACTCAAGGTCTTCTGACACGCCCCTTTTACTGCTGACTTGTCATGGAAGGTGCACCAGAGCTGCGGAGAGATGAAGAGTCTTTAGTTTTACTCTTTTGCTGCACTGCCCTGTTACCTGACTCTCACTCCATCCTGCTCAACGTCAATTCCAGGGGTGCACAACTCCAGTCCTGGAGGGCCGGTGTCCAGCACAGTTTGGTCATTTACCTGCTCCAACACACCTGATTACACTTATTAGTTAAAAGCCAGGTTAAGTGGGTGTGTCTGAGCAGGGAAACCTCCAAACCGTGCTGGACACCAGCCCTCCAGGACCGGAGTTGTGCATCCCTGGTCTATTCAGTCAACAGGCTGCATTCTGCGGTTTGTAATGTATTGGAATTAGACCCATCTCTCACCTTGCTGACCATGAAAAGCTCTTCTCTCTTCACCACGCCTTCTTTGATCATGGCGTGGACGCCCTCTCCCACCTCCTTCTCATTCTCGTAGACCATCGCTCCATCGATGTGCCTGTAGCCTGCAGCTATGGCAGCTTTCACAGCTTCGGTTACTTGACCTGGACGTGACTGGGAGGAAAAACAACAGTGGTTTGACCTTAACGCCTCTGTGTCCTTAAAGACTTAATCACTAAAAGCGCTAATCTTAATTTCTAACAAAGCGGCGCTCCATGCAGGGCACACGGATTAAGGTCCAGAAAACAGATGTTTACTTTTCTGACCACATAAGATAACACTGACTTCTTGGCTAAGTCATGTCAACACAATGTAGTAAAACATAGTAGTGTGTTTCTGCAACTACAGGCACCTTAGGTTATCCAAATTTCTGGACAGAGTTTTTTAGAGTTTTGTAACGCAAATAATGAGCTAAAAATGCATATTATTTACAAAATTCCCGAGTTACTTTTGACTTTACAGCAACATGGCAACACAAGGTTTATATTTATATATGGTTTATATTTATATAAAAACATTTTCAGACATTTTTTTCATGATATACTTTTTTTCCATGTACCTAATAGATATACATAATATACATAAATATATAAAGAACTGATTTTTTTACCCCAAACTTTTTTTAATAAATGACTTTAACTTTTATATTTAGCAGCCTTTCATGTGAAAATGACACTAAATGGTTTATGTTTCACCAGAAACCAGCACAAGGTCCCCTGGCAGTGTAACATGACCTCGCACACCCTGACTGTTCCTATTAAAGGGGAACTCCACCGATTTCCTAAATTTTTCCCGAAGTCATTCAGAGAGGTTGGGTGTGAAACGCTCCGCTCTAGAGAAACTTAACGAGTCAGAATTGTTTACAGTGTTTACAGACTGTGTTTACATCTCAATGACTCAGTTACGCACGACTTTTGAAAAGTCGGTGAACTTACCCTTTAAAGTTAGCCACGAAGCTGAAGTGAGCTTTCATTCGCCATATTCTTGTTCAAATCTTCCCGTTCCACCTTAAATGGTGCACCAGTTCCATTCTGGCGCCTCCAGTTCCACCTTAAATGGTGCAGCAGCTAGCTAACATTCTATCTAAGTTACATTCGTTGTTCGATTTTTTCCCCGTTCCACCTTAAATGGTGCAGGCGCCAGATGCAAATACTGCACATTTAAGGTGGTACGGGAAAATTCGAGCGCTTCGAGAAGCTGGCGAACAGGAAGCCAACTGTAGCCTCGTAAGCTCCGTAGTGAGTCGACCTACCTTCCATGTCCCCAGACCGATAATCGGCATTTCTGCACCGGTGTTGAGTTTCACTGAGGTCGCCATTGTTCAGCGGATACAACTGTAATCGGTAACGGCAACTGATTCAATCCCGAGCCCCTGCAGGACAACCGCCACCGTCAATCACCCGGCGCACGTTCGCGTATAAAAGAGGGGGGATTCGAATCGCGAACGAATCGAATCTTAGAACAGGTTCTTTTGAATGAATCGTGTCACATGATTCACAACAGAACGTTTCGTTTGTGTGGCTTCGGTCTGCGCAATGCTTAACATGGTTTTTTACGGAGCCCCGCTGGTGACATCCTGTATAAATAAAAATAATGCATGGCCACGCCTTATTAACGCGTGGGAACGAGATCCTAATGCATGGCCACGACTTAGTAAAGTGTGGGAACGAGATCACGGCTTACTAAGTCGTGGCCACACATTAGGATCTCGTTTCCACGCTTTACTAAGTCGTGGCCACAACTTAATCATCTCATTCCCATGCCTTACTAAGTCGTGGCCACGCATTATTTTTATTTATACAGGATGTCCACCAGCGGGGCTCTGTAGGGGGTTTTTATACACTAATAACATAAAATACCCCACTGTAGCACATTAATAATCAAAAACAACAGATACGCTAGAGGCACTTTCCATGAATATTTCATGTCCAGTTACTTTTTTAAAGGGGAATCCCACCTACTTTTCAAATTTTCTCCAGAGTGATTCAGATAGATAGATAATTTATTGATCCTGAAGGAAATTTAGCAGCCAGTATCAGTCACACAACACAGGACAGTTATAATAATAAGGGTGATACAATATTAAAAGAAGAATAAATACAAAAAAACATCTACAGGTATATATACAAATAGAAATATACAAAAATCTGCAATAAGATCTATAACCTGAGATGAAAAAGGCAGTGCAATAACAGCATATAATGACAATACTGAATAAATATGTGCATATATTAGTACTGAAATAAAGTGTCCAGGTGTGGAGTGTCCAGATGTGCAAGATGTGCAGTAGGGGTTTCAGAAAGTGCAATATGTACAGTAAGGTGTCCATATGTACAGATGGATAGAATAAACATATGATTTAGCATGAGATTCAGATTCAGTCCTCATCTGTCCTCCTCCCTCTTCTCTTCTGGCCTCACTGGGAAGAGCTGAAGAGCCTGATGGCTCTGGGGACAAAGGATCTCCTGAATCTGTCGGTTGAGCAGCTCTGTGACAGCAACCTGCCACTGAACATGCTCCTCTTGTCCGTGATGATGGTGTGCAGCGGGTGGCCATCATCCTTCATAATGGAGAGCAGTTTGTGCAGAGTCCTTCTCTTGGCCACCTTAGCCACAAAGTCTAGTTAATTCACACCGACCACTGACCCCGCACGCCTGACCAGCTTGTCCAGTCGCATCTCGTCTCTCTAATTTAGATTCAGAGTGGTTTGGTGTGAAGTGATTCATTGAAGAGACTCATTTTTCTTTACAGTGGTGGTGATAGGAACCAGGGGTTGCCTAGACTACAACACAAATATAGACATTTTATTTACTATCCAAAACCACCAGTGAACCTACACGAGTCTTATTATATATTGTATCATATGGAATGTTTTTGGTAAAATTGTGACAAATCTGGAAGAATACGTTTTCTTCGGGGACTATTTTGCCTTAGAACTTACTCCATGTGTCCCTCCAACATAACGGATTAAAACAAAATGTTTTAGGCCACAATTGAATCACAGTTCTATCATAAAACAGTGTCTCAGTCATCAGGCAGTGAATTCATAACCATTTCATGTAGTAACTTTCTGTGAGGGAGCTTTTAGAGGTGGACGTCTGGTTCCTATCACCACCACTGTGAACAGTTCTGACTCTGTAAGTTTCTCTAGAACAGAGCGTTTCACACCAAACCACTCTGAATGACTCTATTTACATCTTAAACACTTAATTATGCAGAAACTTTGACATATTGGTGGAATTCCACTTTAAAAGCAATAATGTCACTGTTGGATATTTATTTTGTAAAAATGAAGAGATCTGTACTTTAATTTTGTCCCACTCTGCATTGAAAATGCACCACACATTCTCTATTGGAGACAGACTGGGATTGTAGGCAGGCCAGTGCAGCACCTGCACCCTCATCTTCCGCAGCCGTGCCTTTGTAATGTGTGCAGAATGTGCTTTTGCAACGTCTTGTTGAAATATGCCTGGGCGTCCCTGGAAGAGGTGTCGTCTTGAAGGCGGTACATGTTGCTCCAAAATCTCTATGTACTTTTCAGCATGAATGGTGCCATCACAATAGTGTGAGACAATTCTTTAGTAAAGAAAAACTTCTATATAGAACCATGAACGCTTAAAGAACCCTTTGCATCATGCAAGCCTTCTTCACATTGATGAAGAATGTGCTGTTTATGGTTCTATATAGAAACTTTTTGAAAAAGGTTATTCTATTGTAACAAGCTTGATGTCATAACAATAAAAGAACCCTTTTTGGTGCTATATAGAACTATATACAACACACCCTCTATCGATCTGAAGAACCCTTTTGCAATGCAAAGAACCCTTTAATCATGCAAATGGTTCTTTGAGTGTTCATGGTTCTATTTAGAACTTTTTTTTAAACAAAAGAACCCCTGAAAAACCATTTTAAAAAGATATATATATATTTATATATAATATATATATATATATATATATATATATATATATATATATATATATATGTATGTATGTATGTATGTGTGTGTGTGTGTGTGTGGGGGTGTGTTTGTATGCATGCATGTAAGTGTAATTTTATTTTATTCTGGAATGTCCCTTTACTTTAAGGGACAACGATTTTTGAAAAACAGCAAAACCAAACAAGTAAAACAAAGTAAAAAATATATATATATATTGTACAAAATGGCAAAACTGAACAATACTTTTGTACTTCTACTCAAGTTGATTTTTGGGAAGGTACTTTATTTTACCCGATTATCAATACGTTTACTTTAGATGGATTTTGACTTTTTTATCCTAATCTAACTTTATATTTTTAATTTGATTTCTTAACTATCTTAATTTAATTTCTAATTTGATTTTTAATTATTAATTTTCTCTTTTAAAACCATTATTTTAATCGTTTTAAATTTCTATTCGTTTACTTTTTTTAAACAACTCTATTTTCTGACTCTGTATTTTCTCATTTGTAAAGCACTTTGAATGACAGCAGTGCTGTATAAACAAACTTGCCTTGCCTAGACTACTCTACCCACCTCTGCACAGTACATAGATAGATAGATAGATAGATAGATAGACAGATAGACAGATAGATAGATAGATAATTTGCTTCATGCATTAACACGACATTTAAAAATAAAAGACAGAAACTGATTGAAGCTTTATTACAAATATCATAAAACTCATTGTATTTTATATCCAATAACTCAAAAGAGTCACTCACTCACAGTTTGCAAAGAAGTTGGAAGAGCTCAGTCACGTTCAAGAAAACACAGTGTTCAAACAAAGTCAAAACAGACGACATATTGGTAAGAATGTTCTACTGCACATTCCTGTGCATTCCTTCACTCTATATTTCATACATACGCATTTGAGGTATGATCTCGATTCCCGAGTGCTTTGTAAAAAGAGAAAAACGTATGAAGCAAAAAACCACAACACGGAGAAACAACATCCACATCCACACCAAAGAAAGCAACTTTGTTCTTACCAGGAGGTCTCACTTGATTCAGTGAGGAACACTGATTCGTTCCTGCACTTGTTTTGATCTGTTCTGGCGTCTCTCAGTAAGATAAACTATTTTCGTTTGTTTGTGTCTCCTCACAGACAGAACATGCTAGAACAGAGCAAATCATTTCTTCTGCCTGACAACCTCATTTTGAAGGAACACCACACTTTACCTCCCTCCAAACACTTTTTCTCCATTATATCTACAGTCGCATGCAAAAGTTTGGGCACCCCTGGTTAAATGACATGTGGCTGTTGATTTTTTAGGTGTAAATAAGTTACACATCCTCTACAGAGACACGTCTGCTCATTTTAATACACAATTACTGTTTATTTACTGAATTTATGTGTTGCATTATGTGAAACAGTTAGGACATTTATATTATATTATATAGTATATTTTATATTAATAATATATTTCACATTTTATATGCTAAATTCAGCAAATAAACAGTAATTATGCATTAAAACGTGCAGAAGTGTGTGTCTGTAGAGGATGCGTTCACTTATTTACACTTCAGTTCATTCAGGGGCGCACAAACTTTGGTATACAGCTGCATAATAATGGGATTCCTTTGGTAGATTTTATAGAGGAATATCAGGAATTGCAAGGGGGGTTTATGACATGAAGTGGTGGAGTGTTTCAACATGAGATCAAATCAAATTCAATAACTATAAATCCAGGAACTATAAAGCTTTCTTGTATGGGAGTATATGTGCATACAAATGTGACCAAGTGACTACTGGAGATCTTTATGTAAACATATGTATTCTCCATGTAGACATGGAGAACTTGCAAAAACATTTAAGGTCTTTCAAATTGAAAAACACTGAAATACCATCACAGAACACAGGAAGAGTAAATGCTTTTCTTCCTTTTTACCGTTAACTAGCACCCATGAAGCCAGTAAGCATGTGTGTTTGCTTTGCTTCCTCTTCTCTCTGCTCAGCCAGATCTCTATGAAAACCACAGACGGTGGAAAATGTAAAGTAAACTGAAAGAACTGGAGTTGAAGCTTTTAGGCAGCATCTTGAACGAGACCTCTTCCCTTTTAATAATCAGCATTAAATGGATAGTCTCTGTGCTTCACACCCCTGCAGAGGAAACACAATAAAAACATTATTAACCAGGAGAAAAATCTGAATCCTTACTTTAAATTATCCTTGAATAATTACTACATGGCACTACATGACCAAAAGTATGTGGACAACCTTCTTATTTAGTGGTTTGGGCTATACGGTGAGGGAAACAAGCATTCTAACTATGTTTGTTATTTAATATACAAGTACTATAAGTAATGTAGGTTCACACACACACACACACACACACACACACACACACACACACACACACACACACACACACACACACACCATGTATTTTGACTTTGTACACATAAATCTGAACAAAGATTATGTATTCATAAGCATAAACAAAAGATATGTTTAAAAAGCTAAATTGATGGTGAAAAAAGTATTCAGACATCACAAATAAATCATCAGTCTTAAAAATAATCAGCCCTGTCCGTAGCTTTTTCCATTCTAGGGTTATTTATTAATGTTCTGCCTGAGAACTTCGGGAAGCTCCTTCACCTTCACCATGATGGATATTTGTTGTGTGAAGTATCCCAACGGCAGCGTCTTTTACAATGAAACCAGGAGCAATTTGTACAAGAACACTATATATTAGTGCCGTGTTAGTGTGTGTTGCGCTGGTACGAGTGGATCAGACGCTACCTGCTCTGTGGTGGTCCTGTACATGCTTTTTGTTCATATTTATAGGTACAAAGCCAGAAGACTTACCTTCACTGGACGTTTATAAAATAAAATAAAAAGTGTCTGAATATTTGCTTTCGCTCACTGTAAGCGTGGTTACTGTTAAGTGGCAACATGTAGGAGCAACTACAGCTCAGCTAAGTGGTAGAGCACAAGGGTTCACAGAATTGTGATAGAAGAAAATAAAAATTTCCAACATAATAATTAAACATGATGATTAAAGAGAACGTCATTAATAAAAGGTTTATACATAGGACACTGGAAAGTATACATAAGACAGCAAAGGCCCTGAGAGGCCTTCAAGAAAACCCTATGAACCTTAAGCTACAAGGATAAGCACCAAGGGAGGTGCTGGGTAACACATACGCAGCCTGCCCTTTTTAATGATTAGATACAAGAAAGACAACTAGACCTTTTTAATGGGTCGAATTTTATTGGGTCCAAAAAATTAATTTAATGATGGGCAAAACAGGTTATGACACATTAAAAGAGAGAGCGGATAACCTCATCTCTGAAAAGTGTATAAAAACACGGAACGCTGTATATTTTATTCACTATTGTATTCATGCACTTTGCCTGTAATAAAGATTGAAGCCTTTTTTCTTCAACAAACCCAGCGTCTGAAGTAGTGCTGGGCAATATGACCTCAAATCAATATCACGATTAATTGAATATTTTACCTCGATTACAATTAATGAACGATTATTTTATTTTTGTTTTTTCTTTTTGTTCGTTTTTTTGCCCTCATAGTTCACTGAAAAGGTCTCTACTGTAAATATGTTCTGCATATCTTAATGTAAATCGTCTCAACAGCCAGATCGGAATTCACACATCGACTTCTACGTCAATCCAACTCGACATTCGTCAATTTCGTGCTGCTGAGACTCAAACATTTGGGGTGATATTTCTGTACAAAAATTAGAACAGACTGATTCAAAACCCTCCATGTTTGAGGAGATTTAGAAAGAAGTGTCCGAACGCGGCCGCAGGAGAACGAGGCTGCAGCGTCAAAGAACAGTTTAAAGTCTGAAAGCAGAGTTTAAAGAATCCGAGGACGCGAACCGAAGAAGTGACCGCGCCCTTTTTACGGCTCGAACACATTCTGGGTGATGAGCCCAGCTGTCAGTCAGTGAAGCTTCATGATGGCTCCTGTGATGCTGGTGAAGATGAAGCTGATCCTCCAGGAGCGACTGGAGGTCGTTGGCAGCCGTGATTGTTTACCTCTGGATGAGCCGTGAAGCAGCGTGACTCTCTGTTCTTTTGAGCATGCGGGTCAGTTTAGGAGCTGATCTGTTCAGACTGATGTCGCATACAGATCACATTTAAAAGATAATCTGAACAGCCAAACAAAAAAATCAGATTTGGTGAGAAAATCAGATTTGGGCCACTTTTACCTGCTGCGTGAACGTAGCCTTAGCTTCCGTGTCGCAGACTGGACGTGGCGGAGTCACGTGATACACGTGTGGTAGTAAGTTTTTAAGGGGACAGCGCATGAACACAGAGTCGGAAAGGATTAAGAGAATTTTAAAACAATCGAAATAACCTGCATGGGCAAGATTATGTCAGTTAGAGGCTCTGAATGTCGGTTTCAATTACTTTTCGATTAATCGCCCAGCCCTACTCTGACGTCCTTTTTTGTAGATCCGAAATAGAATAATCATTAAGTGCAGGTAAATTGTAAGAGTTTGAGATTAAATTAATGCTGTGTCTTGAGTGACAGGATTTGCTTGAGGAACAACAATAGAACTGCAGAGTAAACTTGTTACAGGGTCTCGGTTAGAGTCACAGTGTACGATAAGACGGTTACCCAACATTTGGGATGGGTTGGAGTAGCATTTGTCATCCAACATCACTACCTGACCTCACTGCAATGCCTTTGTGGCTGAATGCAATCAAACCCTCACAGCAAGGTTACAATATCTAGTGCAAAGCCTTCCCAGAAGAGTAGCAGCAAAGGCGGTAGGGTGGGGGGGGACTCCATATTAAAGTCCATGACTTTGGAATGAGATGTTCAACAAGCTCAGACGGACTGGATCTTCAGGTGTCCATATACTTGTGGCCATGCTGTATATAACATACCTTATGTCTTGAGTTTGATATTGTGCACTGAATAGCAAAGCCAAACTCACCAGTGCATGGGGCATGTCCTGAAGTTCCTGTTGAAGCCTAGAATGGTCTTCATCTCATCATCAGTCAGGTTGAAGTCAAAGACCTTTGGACATGAATAAATAAAGTAATAATGAGTTTGAACTATTCAGCATTAAGAGATCCAAGACTTTCAGCTGGAACTCTATCGTTCTGGGAGATGAGCTTACTTGAAAGTTCTCTTTGATGCGTGAGGGAGTGACAGACTTGGGTATCACAACGACGTTCCTCTGGATTTGGAAGCGTATGAGGACCTGCGAGGTGTTTTTTACGTGGAACAAAAAAAAAAAAAGGACATTTTAAAATCCCACTTTAGCCCCTTTGATCTGAAAAGCACACTGGATCAGGATTCTATGGACGGGTGACCAACTGAATCATTATTTCCAGCATTCAGCAACAGTGGCCCTGTACATTTCCATCAACATTATAGCGCAATTCATTTCCTGTGAAATGGCTAAACTGTACACACTTAAAAGGTTCTTTAGTAAACAAAATGGTTCTGTATAGAGCCATAAACACTTAAGGAACTCTTTGCGTAATTAACGGGTTCTTTGCACCGTGACAGTGTTCTTCAGATTGATGAGGAATGTGTTGCATATGGTTCTTTATAAAACTGTTTGGAAAAGGATTCTATACAGCACCAAAATGGGTTCTTTCTCCTGTTACAATGTCAGGTTTTTAACAATACAGGAACCCTTTTTGGTGCTATACAGAACCCTTTTCTAAAAGATTCGATATAGAACCATCTATAGCACACTCTCCATTAACCCTTTCATGATGCAAAGAACCCTTTAATCATGCAAAGAGTTCCTTGTGTGTTCATGGTTCTAGATAGAACCATTTTTTTTACTAAAGAACCCTTAAAGAACCATCTTTTCTAAGAACAGAGAAACTTACAGACTCAGATGTCTTTACAGTGGTGGAAAATTAGAAAAAGCAAGTTTTCCACCTTGAATGTGTATATAATATATATTATATATGTTTTTACATGAAATGGCTATGAATGTTATGTGTATATATATACACATATATATACACACACACACACACACACACACACACACACACACACACCATATTCATAGCCATTTCATGTAAAACCTCTGGAGGTATTAAATGCTTCGGATGTCTGGTTCCTATCACCATCACTATGAACAATTCACACCAAAACACTCTTAATGATCAAATCATACAGAAATTTTGAACAATCAGTGGAATTCCCCTTTACCATCCTGCACGTGAGTTAGGGCTGAGACCACTTATTGATTTATTGGTAACTGTCAATTATGGTCATGAAATCATTAAGTAGATTTTAGCGATTTTTCCATTTTGTATGCGTGAGCGGTCTGCACTCCGACCAAAAAAGTTTCACTCAGACTCTGTGTGAATAGGCCTTGGACTTTGTCGCCCCCCTCTGGCACAAATAGGAACTGTCCAGGATGTTGTGCTATTAAATGAGGACCACAATATTTATCGAAAATACTGTCCAGGTTTATCGTCCCAGCCCTACCGTGAGTGCATGAGCTATAAGAATATTTAAAATGTAACACATCTCAGGGAAAGTAAAGATATATAAGATTAAGAAAAATTGATAACTCTCTCTTTTAAAGCAAAATAAAGAATGAATAAAGTCTGAGCACATATAGCTTAAACCATGCACTGCAATTATGCAGTTATATTGTTCCCCCTCAGTGCTGTGTTGTAGGGTAGAGAGTTGACTTTACACTCTCGGCATCCTCTGTCTGTGCACCGTGATATGTGAACATATCAAACTGAGGCAGAAACTGTCCACAGCAGCTGAAATGACATACTTATGCAGTCTCCTTACCTGAGCAGTGGTCTTACTGTACTTCTGAGCAATGGCCTTGATGTTTGGGTCCTCCAGCAACGAAGGGTCCTCTGGTTTGGCCCTGACGTTGGAAAAGCAGATGATTGAGATCAATAGTTTAGTTTTTATAGTGATAAAAAAGGGACGTTAAAATCTATTTTGGTTTTAATATTCAGCATTAAATTGATAGTAACACATATTGGGTAACACAGAAGATGGGAATAAAATATCTACTAGAAGAAAGATTTGAAACAAAAATTAAATTTAACATTTTCAGGTTTTATTTTACAATTCTTGATACCATAAATTCAATTTGAAGAAGCAAAAAATGTTAATAAAAAATTAAATTAAAAAATTGACAGTTTTATCATTCTATTAAACTGGTCTATATAGAACCATTTTCTTTACTAAAAACCCTTGAAAAAAAAAAACCATCTTTACTACTTCATAAAAGAGAAAAACCCTGGGCCCTGATCTGGAACTTTCTGGCTCTGTTCTAGCTCCTCCTCTTCATCATTCTTTGCACCTGTGTCTTGTTGTAAGATATCTTCGTGTCTGTATAAACAGTGCCTGTCGTGTTATTTTCCTTTTGAAAAGTCTTGCTCTGGTTAACTAGTGTTTCTGTTCCCTGTTTTCTGGTTCCTGTTTCTAGTTTTTGACGCGGTTTTAGTAGTTTCTGTTTGGGGGGACAATGGGGACAATGGGGACAATGGGGACAATATCTCAGGCATCAAGCAATGTATTTCTAACCATTTCATGCAATGACTTCCTGTGAGGGAGCTTTTACAGGCATTAAACACATCAGGCATCTGCGGCCATATTCCAGGAACATATTAACTCTGAAATCTTAACTGTTTAGTCTCCAAGACAACTTCATTTAGGACTGAATTTCGGACAGTAGCTCTTACAGAATAACAGTTCCTAACTTCATAATCTCATCATGAACTCCAGATAAGAAAACAGCATCACACAAACATCCTAACTAGACTAAACCTCCTAAATCCTGTCCTAACTTTAGGATGAACCCCAACAGGGTCCTCACTTCTGTTTAAGGTCCGTTTCTATGGTTTTTAGGCAGCTGTGTCAGCAGCATAGTTCACTACCAGCATAATGAGCTCCATTTATTTCTACTGTAAAACGCTGCTTTCACTGTGAGATGATTTTCTTTTCTAACTCTGCGTTTTAAAGATCTCAGACGCTGCAGACTCGATCTCCACCGCCCCTCTGATTACCTTCGTGTGTTAATGTTGATGATGAAATATTACAGTGATGGTGGTGAATAATGAGGAGACGGAGCTGAACGTGTGTCTGTTTATTAGGAGGAGTAACGTTAGCGCACTCGGCTAAAGCGTTTGGGAAATGGAGACTGAAACTGGGGAGCAGCGACGCTCTGATAAACAGCAGGGGGCGCTCTCACAGTATTCACCACTTAAAGTTTATCACACTTTAGTTTTGTTTGACCTTTTTTACATCAGTAACTGGAGCTGTCTGACTAACTAACCTGTTTATTTCGATTACGAGTTTACGTTTCAGCTGTGCACGTATAGTTGGTTGCTAGGTAACAGACATTACAGTTGACTGTCGACTTCAATCGAGCAGGCTAATATTTCCTAACCTGAGATAAGATGCTGTACGATAAGATAAGATTCCTAAATTAAGGTCAGATTCTCTTCTGTAATACGAATCTGTGAAAAACCTCATCTTGACCTGTCAGATCTTAAGACAAAAAGATAGGAAGGTTATGCAATACGTCCCCTGGTTCCTACCATTACAGTCAGTAGGAACTGCGTCTGTTATTAAAACTGCTTTACATTCTTTATATTTATAGTATAATTTCTTGCTGTAGTCCACATTTCATCTGATTGGCCATTCATTGCAAACGTCATGCTTTGATGTGCCCTTATATGAGGATTAATTATAGCTTTAGTATTTGATCCTGGGTTAACGAAGGACGTTTTTTTTTACCAGCTTCATAAAGTGAGTTAACCGCAGCTGCACCTATTTTTTAAGATGAAAATTGGCAAGTTGAAGACGCTCTGTAAGACAGATTACAAGTACATTTGGCAACAACCCACTTAAATGGCTTTAAGAAATTATGTTTAGCAACTATTAAGTCTCAGTACAGTCAGGACTCTCACTCTCTGAGGAGAAATGATACATACCATGGTCTATCAGGAGAGCCCAGAGGGCTGTACGCAGTCACTGTGATCCTCTTAGAGTGACAGAAGTTGATCAGCTTCTCCTGCGTCAGGTAGGGGTGGCTCTCAATCTGGATGAAATAAACAAAGAATCTTAGGTAGAGAGCTTTAATTCAGCATTTTGGTGAACATTTGCTGATTCACTGCCATCAGACTGAGGCACATCATTTAAATGGCCCAAAAAATAACAATTTAATCATTATCCAATAGTTTGTTGACAGCTGTTAATAACAATATATACTATGTATGCATTAATAAATGGTACCATTTGGATAATTAATGGGCCAATTTCTCCATTTTGGGGGATTTTATTTTCCATGAGGTTCACTTATAATAATATTTGTGTTATTTTTTTGTTATAACAAAATTCACTTTTACTTGATCATTTTCAACACCTTATTAATTAGTAACATTTATTAATGCAGAAATAAAATTATCATTAATCATTAACAAATAAGGCTGAAAGATTTGGGGAAAATATCTAAATGCATTTTTTCTGACCAATATTGCAGAGGTGGTCATAATGTTATGCCTGATCGGTGTATATAGTTGCAACTTTACAATGTGCTTCTACAGATGTACTGTATTACTTATTATTTATAGCGCTTAATTTATTTGTGTTGTATGAATAATTCAAATGGTAGGATTTATAAATGTACAAATTAATTTATTTAATTGTTACCTATCATTAAATAATTAGACAGTGATTAAGTTGCTATTTACAGGGCCCTTATAAAGTTTTACTGGTAAAATTTAATGCTAGACTGCAACACAGACTTTGTCGGAAAGTTTAACCCGTTCCAGACAAAAGAGAGCAAATTAAAACTTGCTGCAGGCAAAAGGCTGCTTAATGGGTACAAGATGGCCTTTGTCTGAGGATCTGTCACAGTAAATAAGAGTCAGAGTGCTGTAACAAGGTTAAAGCCACTGGCCTTTCTGCTTTCTACTGCCTTTTTATCTACAGCAAAAGCACAATGGAAAAAAAAGCTAGTAGGCTTTCTTACTTGCGAATCTTTTGTTTTTCCCTTCACCCTTATAAACTGTACACCAGAGGTAACTAATAGGCGGACCGCGGTCCGAGTCCGGACTCAGACACTGTCCTATGCAGACTATGGAGAATTATTTAATTTTGATGGGGTGGTCCTATTTTCATCAGCATAGCTTTTCTAGCCTTTACGGTACCGGTTTAGCGGCCCGGGAGACTCGCATGCGTTGTAAATATGACACTTGACGCTACTCAGCCAATCAGATCTGTGCATTACGATGAGCACTGAGACTTGAGTGAGTGATGCACACACAGGGGAGGGACGAGGCGAAAAACAGCAGTCAGAGAAGAAAGTGAGTCAGAGGGAAGTTATTTCACATGGCGTGATCTAAAAAGAGAAAACTGACATAAATGCTGAAATATCACTGAATTGGACTTTATTTGGTTTGACATTCAGTTGTTGACTGTATAAGATGTTGATATACCTACTAGGCTACTTCAGTAAACAGTATATGGCACTGAATCATAATACAAGTTAGACATTATGATGTTCTGGACCTTTGCTTGAGGAAATTTTCTCTAACTGGACCTTACTGAATTTTAATTAAAGACCCCTGATGTACACTGATCAAGTTGTATTTCATTTTGTTTAAAAAATAAAACAAATCTTCAGACACCTAGTTCCCATCACCACTATGAACAATTCTGATGAGGCTGTCAAAATATCCTAATTATTCTTTTAACGCTGGTAACATTTGGTGATAAGGACATTTGCCAGCTTATTTATCCTATTACAGTTTAGCCCCGCCCATTCATACTGATGTTATAAGGACTGTTTCAGCCTGGACTGCTTTTAGAATGATGCACAATAGAGGGCAGCCAATCAGAATAGCTGTAATTTACATATATCTACTTCAATATCTACTTCAAACATCCTGTTTAATTCAAAGGGATAAAGAGAGGTTGGAAAATGGTCATGTAGAAATGAACTGACAGTTTTTGGCACATGAAACCAAAAAAGACCACTCTGAATGACTGTGTATGCAGATCTTTTGATAAATCAGTGGAATTTCCCCTTTAGGTACCTGTAAAAGGTATGAATACCTACCTGGTGGTTGGCAGGTTTGTATTTGAGGCCTGGCTTGTTCAGGATGGCTTCAATCTGCTCTCGGTTGAAGTTGGAGATGCCGATGGCCTTGACCAGCCCAGCGTCCACCAACTCCTCCATACCCTTTAACATCAATATCAGTGCACTATGAGACGTAGTAGACTGATTAAGAAACAGTGGACAATAACAGAAACTGTATGAACAAAATCAAACAATAAGCCATAGCTGATAATTTCCTCACCTCCCAGGTATCCAGGAAATGGGTGTCATCGCTGATAGCTAAGCCTTCACTGTCCAGAGGGAACAGTTCTTTTCCAGCCTGTGAAATTATAATAACAATAAAAACAACTGTGTTACAGAAGCATCAGCCAGCTAAAACATCACTTTTTATTACTCTACACTCTTAGCAAAAAGGATCTACACCAATCAGGCATGACATTTTGACCACCTCCTTGTTTCTACGCTCATTGTCCATTTTATCAGCTCCACTTACTATATAGGTGCACTTTGTAGTTCTATAGTTACAGACTGTAGTCCATCTGTTTCTCTGATACTTTGTTAGCCCCCTTTTACCCTGTTCTTCAGTGGTCAGGACCCTCACAGAGCAGGTACTATTTGGGTGGTGGATCATTCTCAGCACTGCAGTAACACTGATGTGGTGGTGGTGTGTTAGTGTGTGTTGTGCTGGTACGAGCAGATCAGACACAGCTCACTGTCCACTCTATTAGACACTCCTACCTTGTCAGTCCACCTTGTAGATGTAAAGTCAGAGACAATAGGTCATCTGCTGCTGCACAGTTTGTGTTGGTCATCCTCTAGTCCTTCATCAGTGGTCACAGGACACTGCCCACAGGACGCTGTTGGCTGGATATTTTTGGTTGGTGGACTATTCTCAGTCCAGCAGTGACACTGAGGTGTTTAAAAACTCCAGCAGCACTGCTGTGTCTGATCCACTCAGACCAGCACAACACACACTAACACACCACCACCACGTCAGTGTTACTGCAGTGCTGAGAATGATCCACCACCCAAATACTACCTGCTCTGTGAGGGTCCATGGGGGTCCTGACCACTGAAGAACAAAGTAAAAGGGGGCTAACAAAGTATGCAGAGAAACAGATGGACTACAGTCTGTAACTGTAGAACTACAAAGTGCACCTATATAGTAAGTGGAGCTGATAAAATGGACAATGAGCGTAGAAACAAGGAGGTGGTCAGAATGTTGTGCCTGATTGGTGTATGTAGCATTAAAAACATTTTTTTGGCTTGTAACAATGAGGGAACCCTTTCTGGTGCAGTATAGGACCATTTCTCAAATGTTTCTGTAAAGAGCCGTATACAACACACATTTAATCATGGTAAAAAACATTTACAATGCATTAAAGCATTTAAAGGTGCAGTGTATACATACTGTGAATTGTGTGTTCATCAGTTTAGAATGAGCCCTTCATATCTACATAGGGAGCAGCTTCTCCTCCAACAGAGCCGGCATGTTGTGTCGTCATGTTTCTACAGTAGCCCAGAACAGACAAACCAAACACTGGCTCTAAGGCTTTGTTCACACAGCAGGTAAAAGTGGCCCAAATCCGATCTTTTCCTCAAATGTGCCACAGATGTGTGTCTGTCTGTCAGTGTGAACAGATAAACACACTGACATTTTCAATTCCGATTTGAGACGCTTTCATATGTGGTAGTGAAATCTGATCTGTATCCAATCTGCAGCAATGCGACTCAGTCTGAACAGCCAGATCGGAATTCATGCGACTTTTACGTCACTCCAACTCGACTTTCGTCATCATTTCGCGCTGCTGAGACTCAAACATTTAGGCTGATGTTTCAGTACCAAAAAATTAGAAGAGACTCATCCAAAACCCTCTGTGTTTGAAGAGATTTTAAAAGAAATGCCATCAAGAAAAAGTCTGAAAGCAAAAGTTTAAAGAATCTGAGGACACGAACCAAAGAAGTGGCCGTGGCTGAATAATGTTCCTTTTTTTAATGCGAGCTCGGACACATTCTGGATGATGAGCTCAGCTGTCAGCCATCGGAACTTCATGATGGCTCCTGTGATGCTAGAGAAGATGAAACTGAAAGCTCAGGGAGTGACTGGCGCTCGTTGGCAGTCATGATTGTTTACCTCTGGATGAGCCACGTGAAGCACTGTTCTTTTGCGCATGTGGGTCAGTTTAGTAGCTGATCTGTTCAGACTGATGATACAGATCACATTTAAAAGATATTGTGAACAGCCAAACAAAAAATTGGATTTGGTGAGAAAATCAGATTTGGGCCACTTTTACCTGCTGTGTGAACGTAAAAAGAAAGATAATAGAATCTGCTGCTGAAGGGTCCTCATGACAAAACACCAGGAAAGTCTCTGTTTTTAAAAACTGGTAGGATGTTAAAAGTTGTGTATCTTTAGTCAAACACTCAATATAATTTTGGTTATTTGGTCACAAATCACCTGAAAGCCTATAGGGAAGTGAATCAGGTAAAGGTCTAGGTAATCCAGCTGCAGGTCACTCAAGGTCTTCTGACACGCCCCTTTTACTGCAGACTTGTCATGGAAGGTGCACCAGAGCTGCGGAGAGATGAAGAGTCTTTACAGTTTTACTCTTTTACTGCACTGCCCTGTTACCCAACTCTCACTCCATCCTGCTCAACGTCAATTCCAGGGGTGCACAACTCCAGTCCTGGAGGGCCGGTGTCCAGCACAGTTTGGTCATTTACCTGCTCCAACACACCTGATTACACTTATTAGTTAAAAGCCAGGTTAAGTGGGTGTGTCTGAGCAGGGAAACCTCTAAATCGTGCTGGACACCAGCCCTCCAGGACCAGAGTTGTGCATCCCTGGTCTATTCAGTCAACAGGCTGCATTCTGCAGTTTGTAATGTATTGGAATTAGACCCATCTCTCACCTTGCTGACCATGAAAAGCTCTTCTCTCTTCACCACGCCTTCTTTGATCATGGCGTGGACGCCCTCTCCCACCTCCTTCTCATTCTCGTAGACCATCGCTCCATCGATGTGCCTGTAGCCTGCAGCTATGGCAGCTTTCACAGCTTCGGTTACTTGACCTGGACGTGACTGGGAGGAAAAACAACAGTGGTTTGACCTTAACGCCTCTGTGTACCTTAAAGACTTAATCACTAAAAGCGCTAATCTTAATTTCTAACGAAGCGGCGCTCCACGCAGGGCACACGAATTAAGGCCCAGAAAACAGATGTTTACTTTTCTGACCACATAAGATACCCTTGACTTCCTGGCTAAGTCATGTCAACACAATATAGTAAAACATAGTAGTGTGTTTCCACAGCTACAGGCACTTTTGGTTGTTCAAATTATTGGAAAATCAAAATAATGAATTTTAAGCATTAAGTTTGTGATGTAAATAATGAACAAAAATGCATATCAGTTAAAACCTCTTATTGACCAGGGTATATTTTGGTTTTTCCATCTGAATTTCCATGACCAAACTGTAAGGCAAATTATTCAGTAACTGCATGAAATAAATGTACATTTTTATTTTATTTATTGGTAAAAGCTCCCCTCAAATGAACAGAAAATGTGTTTTATGATAGACATATTGCTATATGCTTACAATTTACCCAAAAAAAGCCAAAAATCTCAGACGCTCTTTGTATTATTTTATACAAATAATTTGTACAGAGCAGATCACTGAAGAGACGCCATCTGTTTATAGTTTATAGCCCAGATTTGTGGAAAAATGGGTCGAATTTCAGTAGAAAAAAAAAAAATCTGTGAGTTCAGCTTCTTTTATTATGAGGGTTTAAAATGACCCATCTATTTGACTGGAAAGAAGACAGTTACAGCTCTCATACGCCCCCCACCTTTAGAATGTAGCTTATGAAATATGAAAGTTATGAAGAATATGATGAAGTGTGTTTTGGAACCACCGGTGGTCTCAAGTGGCTGAAAAGCTTAAAAAACCATGAGTTAAATGTGTCTTTACAGTGACATGAGGTTTATATATAGCTTAGAGTGTTGCGGTAAAGACGTTTGCACTGTTTTCTGAATGACAAATGGTGTTTGCTTTGGCTGACGTGTAATATATTTGAATTTAACATGAATATGAAATTGTTCTAGATGTCTGACACAAAGTACAAGTTGTGTAGTAAGAACTTAAAGAATATTAAATGTAAAAAGAGGAATTCAGGGACACCCAGATTAGATTTCCTAGATTAGATTCCCACACTTTTCACCATGTGCTCTTTGGCTAAAGTACAGTAGAGAGAGAGAGAGAGACAGAGAGAGAGAGAGAGAGACAGAGAGAGAGAGAGAGAGAGAGAGAGAGACAGAGAAATCACAGTGATTTCACACACGAGCAAGCCTGTTCTATATAATACAATAACAAATAAAATGAATATAATACACGTATACAGCATAAATCCAATAGAATTTAAAGGGGTTAATGGTTAATATGTAAACAGAGTCATTCAGGGTGGTTCGGTGTGAAACGCTCTGTTCTAGAGAAACTTACTGAGTCAGAACTGTTCACAGTGGTGGTGATAGGAACCAGACGTCCACCTCTAAAAGCTCCCTCACAGAAAGTTACTACATGAAATGATTATGAATTCACTGCCTGATGACTGAGACACTGTTTTATGATAGTTTTGTGGTAGTTTTAATCCATTTATTTTAATCTATTCACTGTGAAAGGGACACATGAAGGGTGCTCTAAGGCAAAATAGTATATTTTGGATTTATCACTATTTTTCCATCATAAAACTCAGAAGACTCGTGTAGGTTCACTGGTGGTTCTGGATAGTAAATAAAATGTCTATATTTGTGTTGTCCACATTGGGACCTCTGGTTCCTATCACCACCACTGTAAAAAAAAATCGGTAGAGTTCCCCTTCAAGAACTTTTCACAGAGACACTGCAAGTACAAGTACAAGTACAAGTTCAAAGTTCACGTTTCACAATCCATTTGTGTAAATGACTTGCAGCTTTACTCATGCATACTCAACAAAATGCAAATATATAATCCATATATAACTTAGATCCACACCAGAGGACAGAACGAGGCACACTGGCAGTGTGATTTGATCACGGCAGACATTTAGGAAACGTGTACAGTGTTAAAGCTAAGCTGAAGTCAGCTTCTTGATCCTATCTTTCCGTTCCACCTTAAACTGAGCAGCAGTTCCATTCTGGAGCCTGAAGCTTGAGGCGCTGGAACGTGACTGCCGCAACATTTAAGGTGGAACGGGAAAATTCCACTAAGAAGCTGGCGAATAGGACGCGTTCACCTACCTTCCATGTTCCCAGACCGATAATGGGCATTTCTGCGCCGGTGTAGAGTTTCACACAAGTCGCCATAGTTAAGATAACACTTAAATGGGTGGATAAATGTAGGAAACTCTAGCTAGCTAATGCTGACCCAAACCAAGTCCTGCAAGACAACCAGTAAACTCAGTCAACCGCTTATAAAAGCGAGAGATTTGAATCGTGAACGAATCGATTCTTCGAACAGGTTCTTTCCAATGAATCGATTCACATGTCCGAACATGTACATTCTTAAAAATGATGGCACTTAAAGGATTCTGTAGCAAAGACAGTGGTTCTATAAAGAACTATGAACACTCAAAGAAGCCTTTGCATGACTAAAGGGTTCACTGCACCATGAAAGAGTTCTTCAGATTGAATGAGAATGAGCTTTAGATGGTTCTATATTAAAATTAATTTAAAAAATGAATCTCTATAGCACCAAAAAGGGTTCTTCTATTGTTACAATGATTATATATATATATATATATATATATATATGTATGTAATGAATTTAGTTGACAGGCTGACAAATGCCATTTAAAAATTGGTATCAAGGTTGCATAAAATACAGGAAAAACAGCTCATACAGTCTCTGAATTGACAGTCTGATGTGGGAAAATAACATTTACTGAAGTCCTTTGTCAAAAATGTTTAATTTTTTGAGTTTTAAGGCCTTAAATGAACTGGCTGCTCCTCTCTGTAGCATTTTCCTCTTTGTGTTGTTTGTGCTTTGCAGTCCAGTTGAGACTCTTGTTGTTGTAAAAAAGCAGCGAGATTAGACCTGCAGGATGAAGCTGAAGTCATAAAAACTGGTTCTGGTTCTAGCACATTTTTGAAAATGGTTCTATACAGCACCAAAAAGAGCTCTGTTAATATATATAATCTTTACATCATAACAATAGCAGAACGATTTTTGGTGCTACATAGAACCACATACAACACATTCTCCTCATCTAAAGAACGCTTTCGCCATGCAAAGAACCATTTAATCTTGCTGATGGTTCTTTGAGTGTTTATGGTTCTATACATAACCACTGTCCTTACTAAAGAACCATTGAAGAACCATCTTTTTTAAGAGTGAAGGAGCCTTCTCACATCACATTCTCACTTTATTATACACACTGTAATGCACGACCACTGTATATACAAATTTGAGGTGTTGTGTGTGTATATATATATATATATATATATATATACATACAAACATATATATACACATATACTGTATAATATAATCTTTATTTCAAGGTTTAATATTTATATGAACAACTCCACCAAGAAAGATTCCTCATACACCTGGTATTTGGCAAATAAAAATGCTGATTCTGATTTGACTTGAATCAGTGAATCACTGAAACACTTCCCTTGCCGATGTAACTGCTTATGGATTGCTCTGGTCTGATCATATCATGTGACACATTTCCAAATAAAATGTTTGCAGAGGTGTTTTGATTGGTTACTCATTCTTTTGTTGTGTTTAATTCACATAATAGATGGAAAATGTAATAAATGTAATAAACATACAGGAGTTTACAGTACTGGGTTTATTTATAAAATAAATTACATTATTCCGGTCCATCACCCACAGAAACGAAACAAATAAATAACAACAAGGCAGAGAAGTATGAAGGTACTTTGTGAGTTCATTAAGTACCTAATCTATAAAGGAACGTTAGCACAAAAAGGAGGCAGCATTTCAGTTACTGTTCCATTATTTTCTGACCAATTATTTCAATATGAAAATATTATATACTATTTAATACCATTTTTATCATTTTTAATTACGACTTTACTCACAGTTTCATCTGGCAAGATTTTGTTGTGATGTGAATCATGACGATTTTATGTACTGAAAAATAAAAATAGCTTGTGAACAGAATTTTGGCAACACCAAAAGAGTACGATGAAAGAAGAAAGGGTTAAATAAATATGATAAGCGAGGCAGATCACAGTCAGAGGTTACAGAGTCTTATCAGGGGAGTACCCTGCCATCCCAACACCACACTCTTCTCTCTCATCTGGTCCCCTGGCACTCCTTTCCTCCTCTTCTTCGTCTTCCTCGTCTTCCTCTTCCTCCTCCCCTTCCTCTTCATGGGCGGCCCCCCTGCCTGTCTTTGGGCCCTTGCAGATTTTGAGGTGTCGTGTAAGATGGTATTTCGTGAGGAAGCCCTTATTGCATTTTTCACAGATGAAGTCCCTTTTCCCGTCGTGGGAGTTCAGGTGCTTCTTCAGGTGATCGGTCTTGAGGAACTGCTTGTCGCACTTCGGGCAGGTAATCTGGCGGTCTCTGTGGACGACCCAACAGCATAGAGGAGAAAAACAAACAGAGGTCATACACTGATGGAGAAGAAGTGGCGAGAGAAACACAACATGAAAATCATGTAACATGGATTTAATGTTAATTAATTGGTGATGATTTATATGTAAGCTGATCATGACGCTTCAAAGGCAATAATCACCTTTGTGGGAAAGAAAACTGACAGAGAACTGGACAATTAATTTGCCTAACAACAATAAATAAAGTGTACATGTAATGTTTAATTTCCTTTTATTGTTAAAACAATGTATTACTAAGGGGCATTAATAAGACATTAGGCCAGGGGTCGGCAACATGCGGCTCCGAAGCCACATGCGGCTCTTTTACTGCCCTGTTGTGGCTCCACAGCTGAATCAGATTTGTAGGTAATAATAAAATAATCCTCCTTTACAGTAAAATAAAGCTCTGCTGATCGTTCAACACAGTTTAACAATAAATGGTCTTAAACTCTGGAGTTAATGTAGAACTGCTAATTCACCCTTTAACCCTGAAGATCAGCGCAGACTGCTGGACACCATAGCAACGCAAACAACAGCCTCGCCCAGCTAGTAGCTAACGAAACGGCAAAGAGAGAGATTTAAGATGAACATCGATGATTTGGAGATGAATGGACTTATGTGTGTTTATAATCACTCCAGCTGGTTTCCTGATACGTTTAATCTGCAGTGACAAACAACAAAAAGTCACAACGCTGAATTCAGCTTCTCATTCACCAGCTTCTTGTTTGAATTTTGCCGTTCCACCTTAAATGGTGCAGCAGTTACATTCTGATGCCTCAGGCACCATTTAAGGTGGAACGGGAAAATTCAAACGAGAAGCAAATGAGAAACCGAATTCATCTTTGTGATATTTTAGTGTTTGTCAGTTTCTCATTGCAGATTAAATGAATCAGGAAACCAACTGGAGTGATTATAAACACAAAGTCCACTCATCTCCAAATTATTAATGGTCATCTTAAATCTTTCTCTTTGCCTTTTCGTTGCTGGCGAATGAGAAGCGACTTCAGCCTCGTAAAAAGTCGAACGTTGAGAGACATTTTACAAGAAACTGTTCTACTTTTTCTGAAGAGTTTCCTGCCGGAGATTATTATTATAGGCTATTATAGTTTACAGCCTATACTAGTACATCAGCACATACTGAGACATGTTTACAGCCAAGATGGTAAAATGGACATAAATGTTGTGGCTCCCAAGGTAGTTTGATTCTTGTTGAAAGGAAAAAATGGCTCTTCTTAACATTTGAGTTGCCGACCCCTGCAATAGGCTATGCTTCAGTCAATTCCCGACTCTGACGCAGCATTATCAGCACTTCAGTTTAGATGAGTTGTAAAATTATGAAACTATAACAAAAAATCTAACCTGTACAAGCACAGCAAAGTAGACTATTGCATTTTTGGTACAAAATTGCTGAATGGGTGGCTGTGTTTGTATGTGTATATGCGTATACATATATTTACTTTATTTACTCGGTATAATGCCTGTCTGTCATTATTATTATTATTATTATTATTATTATTATTATTAATGTATTTATTTTTTATTTTTCCTGTTTGGCTTGTCTTCCTTTTCACTTTATTTGTTTGCTTTATGTACTGTCTGTCTGTTGTCAGGTTTTTTTGTGTAGCTTTTCCTGTCTTTTAACTTATTTGTCTGTTTCGTATACGGTCAGTCTGTTGTATAACCTCTAACTGAGTTCCGGAGCACCACTGCAAGCAACAGAAACTATATTATTGATAATCCCAATTTTATTTTTCATTTTTGTAAAATAGAAAATATCATACTAATTATTTTTTAGACATTTCCCAAGTCAAATTAAAGGTCCTGAATTCTATATTTTTCCTTTTTCCTTTTATGTAGTTAATATACCAAAAACAGGTTCATTTTACATAACCATGACTGTTTTCCAACCTCTGTTCATTCTTTAAAATTAAACACGGCGTTTCTGTTGCTGTGCCTTTAAGATACGTTTATGTAAGTGACCTCTGCTCTGATTGGCTGTGCCTTATTCAAAAGCAGTTCAAGTTGTATCACTCTTTTTTTTTATGTAAATGGGCGGGGCTAAACTGCTGTGGGCTGAATATATATAAATGCATTGGTTTTTGTGATAACAGGCCGTTTTTGCAGTCTAGTCTGTAAATATGGACAGTATTGATTAGAGAGTGAAAGGAATGTTTTGAAAACTCAGTGAGGGAAATTTGGTTTTCCATGATATGGGCCTTTAAACATGCGACGTGTGCTAGGCAGTTCATATAATTTGAAACTGTGAACAAACTCCTACCGAGAATAAGAGGGTGATACGCGTACTTACAGCGAGTGTGAGTACATGTGCTGCTTAAGGTCCTGTTTCCTGTTGAACGTCTTGTCACAGTGGTCACACTTGATGTTCTTGGCGCCCGTGTGAATGACCATATGAGACTCTACGTGGGCTTTCTGGGTAAAAGACTTACCACACACGGTGCACCTGAAGTTCTTCTGACCTTTGGGATGAGATCACATGTAATTTATCACAAACCTGATATCACAGGAACACAGGATGGTGAACTTTAGAGATGCTGAAAGTGGAACTATATTCAGCTGGATTTTCATTACAGAACACATCAGTTATTACAACGTTTATAAGCATTTGGCACAGCAGCTATTAGGTTTAGGGGGCAATTACTTTTTCACACAGGTGTTCCGTAAATGAAATAAACATTAAAACATGTGTTTTGTGGTTCTTGTGTTTTTGTCCTCTGTACAAATATCTAAAACCATTTGGCATGACAAATGTGCAAAAATACACTCTTAAAAAAAGATGTTTTTTTTTTTTAAGGGTTCTTTAGTAAACAGAACCCTTGGCGTGATTAAAGGGCTTTGCATCATGAAAGTGTTCTTCAGATTGATGGAGAATATGCTGCAGATGGTTCTATATAGAATCTTTTTGAAGAGCACCATATGTAGCACCAAAAAAGGTTCTGCTATCATTGTGATGTCAAGCTTGTATACAAAAGAAGAACCATTTTGGTGCTATATAGAACCCTTTCCAAAATGGTTATTACATAGAACTATATGCAACACATGCTTCATCAATCTGAAGAGCCTTTTCACGATGCAAAGAACTTTCAATCATGCAAAGGGTTCTTTAAGTGTCCGTGGTTCTATACAGAACTATCGTCTTTGCTAAAGAACCCTTGGCGAACCATCTAAGACTGTAAAGGAAACCAGGAAATGGTGAATACTTTTTCACGACACTGTAATCTATACGTGAGAAATAAACCTACACTAATAAGAAAGATGGTTCTTCAAGGGTTCTTTAGTGAAGAAAAAGGTTCTATATAGAGCCATGAGCATTAAAAGAACCCTTTGCATGATTAAAGGGTTTTTGCATCGTGAAAAGGTTCTTCACATGGATAGAGAATGTGCTGTAGAAGATTCCAAACAGAACCTTTTTGAAAAGGTTTTTCTATGTTACGATATCAAGCTAGACAATAGAAGAACCCCTTTTGGGTGCTATATAGAACCCTTTTCAAAAAGGTTATTATATAGAACTATATGCAACACATTCTCCATCAATCTGAAGAGCATTTTCGCGATGCAAAGAACCTTTAATCGTGCAAAGGGTTCTTCGAATGTCCACGGTTCTATACAGAACCATCGTCTTTGCTAAAGAACCCTTGAGGAACCATCTTCTTTAAGGCCGTATACTTTTTCACGACACTGTAACCTATACGTGAGAAATAAACCTACACTAATAAAAAAGATGGTTCTTCAAGGGTTCTTTAGCGAAGAAAAAGGGTCTATATAGAGCCATGAGCATTAAAAGAACCCTTTGCATGATTAAAGGGTTTTTTGCACCATGAAAGTGTTTTTCAGATTGAAAGAGAATGTGAAGTGGTTCTTCTATTGTTACGATGAACCCTCTTTGGTGCTATGTAGAACCCTTTTCTAAAAGGTTCTATATGGAACCATCTGTAGCACATTTATGCACATTTTTCAATCAATCTGAACAATATCATGATGCAAAGGACCCTTTAATCATGCAAGGGGTTCTTTAAGTGTTCATGGTTCTATACAGAACCGTTTTCTCTACTAAAGAACCCTTGAAAAACAAAACTTTTTTTTAGGTGTAGAAACTGAGCAGCTAGTTTCAGTAAGAACACAGACACAGACACGGCACCTGTGTGGATCCTCAGATGCATCCTCAGGTTGCTCGGGTCACTGAAGGCTTTGCTGCAGTAGCTGCACTTGTGTGGCCTGACGCCCATGTGACCCATGAAGTGCACGTTCAGCTTGGTGGACGTGGTGAACGCTCGTGAACACATGTTGCACTTGAACTTCTTCTCCCTGCCGTGGCGGTGCCCGTTGCTGTCGGCCTGCCCATCGCCGTGGGAGTGGCACTGCCAGGACGGGGAGGAGGTGGGGCTGGGTGCCTCACTGGCCAGCTTCTCCTGAGGGTGGGGCTGACTGTGGACAGCGCGGGTGGGGTCTTCGTGGGTTGGACTTTGACTGTGGGCGTGACTGCTGAGATGAGATTTTAACTCGGGGAAAGAGGCGCATTCTTTTCCACAGTGGCAAATTTGGCCTTCTGGTACTTGGGGTACACCTGAAAGGTGGGTCAAGTGTAAATATTACAGAATCAATATACATGCTGAGCAGCTTGGATAAATGAGCTGCACACTCTTACAAATTTAGGTTCCTAAATGGTACTTGGATCAGACCAGGGCAGAAAGATTTAGTTCGTTTTTATATCAACATCGCAGTAACTGGGCTGGTTCCCTCTCAGTACCTTTAGTCAGGGAACATAACTGAACCATAATCCACTGAAATGATATGTTCTAAGCTGTACTGACTCCACACACCCCGTCTCGTCTCCAGGCTTTTATTTTACTGTTCTGTTTTAGAACATTTGGTTATGAAAAGGTACAAATACGAACTTTTCACCTGGAGAAACGTATTTAAGGTTCACAATCAGACCTTAAAACCACTGTTTGAAGGCAAATTTACACTGTTTGTGCCTTGATGAATGAGAAATGTATCAACACAGTACCTTTATTTCCAACAGTGTACACCGATCAGGCATAACATTATTGTTGGGTGGTGGATCATTCTCAGCACTGCAGTAACACTGATGTGGTGGTGGTGCATTAGTGTGTGTTGTGCTGGTGCAAGTGGATCAGACACAGCAGTGCTGCTGGAGTTTTTAAACACTGTGTCCACTCACTGTCCACTCTATTAGACACTCCTACCTTGTAAGTCCACCTTGTAGATGTAAAGTCAGAGACGATAGCTCATCTGCTGCTGCATGGTCTGTGTTGGTCATCCTCTAGTCCTTCATCAGTGGTCACAGGACGCTGCCCACAGGACGCTGTTGGCTGGATATTTTTGGTTGGTGGACTATTCTCAGTCCAGCAGTGACACTGAGGTGTTTAAAAACTCCAGCAGCACTGCTGTGTCTGATCCACTCAGACCAGCACAACACACACTAACACACCACATCAGTGTCAAGAACAGGGTAAAAGGGGGCTAACAAAGTATGCAGAGAAACAGATGGACTACAGTCTGTAACTGTAGAACTACAAAGTGCCCCTATATAGTAAGTGGAGCTGATAAAATGGACAATGAGCGCAGAAACAGGGTGGTCATCATGTTATGCCTGATTGGTGTATAATTAAATGGTTAAGATGTAAACAGAGTCATTCAGAATTGTTCACAGTGGTGGTGATGGGAACCAGACGTCCACCTCTGAAAGATCCCTCACAGAAAGTAATTACATTAAACATCTGGGATTTAGTTCTATTGGTACTATATTCAATATTATACAGAAGACTCGTGTAGGTTCACTGGTGGTTTTGGATAGTAAATAAAATGTCTATATTTGTGTTGTTGTCATGGTGACCCCCTGGTTCCTATCACCACCACTGTAAAGACATCTGAACTATTTCACTCCAAACCACTCTGAATCACTCTGATTACATCTCACACACTGAACCATATTGTAATCTTTTTTGACAAGTTTCAGCGAAATTTAACCCAATAACACAGCTTGTGAGCTGCCTGCAGATAAGTTAGACCAATCGGAGGCGACCAAACATTCATTTGCTGTGACAGCAAAAACCACAGTTAACTGGCTGTCTGCCACGCTGTGTTCAGTGTTCAAGCCTCAAGCTACAGAAAGTGGATATGCTGGTATTAATGACCAAAGTAACAGGCCTGAACTTCAATTTATAGAAATAAATTGCAATTTAAGTTGTAGTCACAATAGTGGACAGATAAATTGGAATATTTTCCCTAAATTGTTCAGCTCTTCCTTGGATGGTTTGAGAAAAGAAAAAAGCTTTAATAAAGAACCTTTCTTTAAACTTTAAAAAGGTTCTTCACTCTCACACACAGTGCGTGTTAGTAAAAAGGCGCTGTACAGGAATAGTTTAGTCTCCAACTGTACAAACAATGCAAATGTACCCTCGAAAGTACAAAACTGCTCTTAAGGCCCAAATATGCACCTTTAATGAGTTTTAAATGTGCGTTACTTTCACCGTCCTATGAGAACAGGGCACATTTTAACCTTTATATTACTTTTTAAAATAGAAAAATAAAAGAAAAAAGCATGAAGCCAAGACACGGTGAACATTTCTAAAAATCTTTAACCATAATTGAAAATGGTTCCACTGTGATGTTGCCCCAGAAAAGCTTTTTTTTGTTTTTGTTTTTTTAAGAGTATCCTATTTGAAGTTATATATGCACTCACTATAAAAAAAACAGTGTTTTAACTTAAACTAACTTAAAAAGTTAGTTACCAGGCTGAGGAGTTAACTGAACTTCAAATAACAAGCTGAGTGACAGGCACATTCTTGTTTGGGTTCTGTATGGTTTTCCAAGGGTTTTTAGTTAGGAAAATGGTTCTATGTAGAACCATGAACCATGTATAACCCTTTGCATGAGTAAAAGATTTTTTTGCATCGTAAAACGGTTCTTCAGATTGATGGAGAATATGTCGTAGATGGTTACGTATATATAACTTTTTTTTGAAAAGGGTTCTATAAAGCACCAAAAGTGCTCTTCTACAGTTACGATGTCAAGAATCCTTAGATACCCTTAGTACCATATACAACACATTCTCAGTCAATCTGAAGAACCATTTCATGATGCAAAGAACCTTTCAATCATGCAAAGGGTTCTTTTAGTGTTTATGGTTCAACACAGAACCATTTTCTTTACTGAAGAACACTTGAAGATGTGTGTAGTTCATTATTATCAGTCCAATTAGCTAAAAAAAATCAGGTATCTTTTTTCTTACAGTGCTTCACGTCACTCTTCAGCAGCTAGTAATCAAGTCCTTCATGGACCGAATCAGACAGTAGACTCTTTAGGGCAGTGTTAGTCCAGAACAGGGCTGCAGTCTTACCGAGCAGTCTGCTGTAATCTCTGCTGTAGTAGAACAGCAGCTCTTGCTCTGGGAGAATCTCTCTGGACGTGCAGAAGTAAAGCTTCCCATTGTCAATATACGCCACCAAATTCTGCTCCTCTGTGCTCCTGCAAACACATTACTTAGATAAAGATGCTGCGACTGAGATGCTGCTGATATACCGAGAGCTGTAATTTCATTATACAGTCACATGCGAATGTGATCTGACCAGGCGCCGCACACGTTGTGTTGATTTTCTAAGAGAAAATAAGTTAACACATTCTGTACACCTAAAAAAGATGGTGCTTCAAGGGTTCTTTAGTAAAGACAATGGTTCTATATAGAACCACGAACACTCAAAAGAACCCTTTGCATGATTAAATTCTTTGCTTCATGAAAGCATTTTTCAGATTGATGGAGAATGTGTTGTAAATGGTTCTAAATAGCACCCAAAAGGGTTCTTCTATTGTTATGATGTCAAGCCTGTAACAACAGAAGAACCCTTTTTGGTGCTATATGGCTCTATATAGAACCATCATGTTCTTTGCATCATGAAAGTGTTCTTAAAACTGATTGAGAATATGCTGTAGATAGTTCTATATGGAACCTTTTTGAAAATGGCACTATATAGCACCCAAAAGGGTTCTTCTATTGTTACCTTGTCAAGCTTGTAACAATAGAAAAACCCTTTTGGGCGCTATATAGAACCTTTTTGGAAAAGGTTCTATATAGAACAGTCTATGCACATTTTCCATCAATCGTGCACATTTTCCATCAATCCGAAGAACGCTTTCATGACGTAAAGACCCTTTAATCACGCAAAAGGTTCTTTGAGTGTTGATGGTTCTACATAGAAACATTTTCTTTACTAAACAACCCTTTAAGCACACTTGTGCACATTTTAGGGCACAATTACTGTTATGTGAAATTTAAGCTGATGATTAATTGTCATGTAATTAATTGCAATTAATGGTTTAATTGTTCACTGCAGGCAATTATTAAGGGAAAAGCCTTTAAGTGGCCAAATTGGCTCATTAGCCATCTGGCTTCCAAGCTATGTTTACACAACAATATTGAGTGTCCGCACACAAACAAATTACAGTTACACAGAATTGTGTGTCGAGTCAAAGCTACAAGAGACAGTGAGTGCGTTTACATGCACTTAATAATCTAGTCATAATCGGATTTCTGCAGTTATCCGATTATTCAAATGGTCATGTAAATCTAGAAATCCAAGTAATCTGATAAAGAGCTGGATTTTAGCTCAGTAATCAGATTTCTCAGTGCATGTGAACTCTTACTCTGATTTCTTTCGGATTTCTCAGTCCGCGCATGTGCAAAACAGACCACGGTACCAGAAATAAGCGAGCAGTGTTGCCGCAGACGCAGCAAAACACATTTGGAGCGGCGCTGAAACCAAACCTAAATAAAGGATTTAAATATTCTTCATTTTCCAGATGATGTATGTTTATATTTTGAAGTAAAGCAGCACAATGTTTATAAAAAAAGCTGCAGCACAAAGTTCGAGTTTTACGTCACGTCTTCTTCTGAGAGTTTATTGGCTGGTTGCAAAGCAGAAATCTGATTACTGTCTGACTCATGTAGACCCAGAGTTTCCCCATCTGATTACTCAAGTCAATGTAAATGCGTTGATCGGATTACTGACAAAATCTGATTTTCTGCAGTTATCGTATTATTAAGGACATGTAAACACACTCAATATTAGGGAGAACAACATTTACTCTGCACACACACACTAAATACAGTTAGAATTAGCTACACAAATGACTCTCACACTGTAAACTAGAATTTCTGTTGTTTTCATAAACCCCATGATGTCTCAATGAATGCATTTACTGCGTTACTGCGTTACTACCATTACACTCAAAATCCTGGCAGTTAACTTAAATAATTGCGATCAGGTGATGATGCAATAAGTGTGACAGATCCAATAACATTATAGTTCATGTTTTTTAATATGTTTAACTAAATAAATAGAAACAAAACTTCAAATATTTAAATTCTCGTATTTTTACAACTAAATACTTTAATGGAAGTATTCAAATATTTTCATATGACTGCAACACTTTGAGGCTGAGTTACCTGGCTTTTCTCACGAACATCATCCAGTTGCATTCATGTTCATCCGTCGTCACTATACAGAACTCTAGGATATCATTGTGGAACATCTGAAAATCAAACACACAATTTAGCCGTTTTTCCCCCCAAAAGCTACAAAACGTGGCTGGAGATCAAAGTGGAAAATGTAAATGAAGAGCAAATCAAACATTCATTCAGAGGGACCTGCAGAATCTCTTTAAAATGCATTAAAATAAATGTTTAATACTGTTTTATTTCGAACAATGAACCTTCCACAGCTGAGGGGTGTCCTTGTCAGGCCAGTCTGGAAGCTCCACACTGCTACAGTGCTGCCCAACCATTGGTCCGAAGCAGGTCCTGGTGGGGATGGTCTCTCGTGCAAATACACCTGAGGATAAAACATTAAAGAAAGATTATTTAATATCAAGACTACATTTTTATAATTTAATATCAAATTATAATTACATCAATATGCACAAAATAAAATTAGTGTCTACATGTATCAAATTTAATGCTTTCTATCACATTTATTTGTATGATTTGTTTATTTTTTATAACATGTATTTCTTATTTTAGAACAAATCATCTTTTTCTCATTAAAAAAAAAAGTTTTGATTGATAGATTAAGTATAAAGTCAGTGCTAAATATTTTGTCCACGACAAAGGTCAGTTTTCGGTTTAGTTAGGAACCATTAGCTTAAGTTTCCTTTAGTTAGACAGAAACCAGCGACTGTGACAAACTGTCCCAGCAGGTCAGTGTAGCTGGTCGGTCTAAAGGCAGTGAGAGGTTTTTGTTTATATCAGAAATGTTGATTCTAATGAGCCAAAATGTCTTATTTTGGGAGAAAGAAGGAAATGAAAAGATGTTTATGCTGTAATTAAGAGTCCATTAACTCAAATGTTAACTGTTTAATTACCTTTAAGGCTTAATATTTATAAAATTTTAAATAGGAAGACTTTTTAAACTGTAAGAAGGCAGTCAGAGTTTCAGCAACATGTTTTCATGTTTTTATAAGCTTTTCCTGCCGTCACTGAGCAGAGCGGCGACATGACAAAGAGGCAGAACCTGATTGGTCGTCTTGTGTGTATTTGAAGTGCTGACTGGCTGGCAGATAAAACCTTATAGAACTAAGTTAGCATTTGGTTTTGGAGATAGAACCTTTTTATTTTCTAGATAAAGAGTGCATAAATGCACACAACTTAAAAAACATCTCACATAATGTTAAGAAGCTGTGACAGAGTAAGAATATGTGAACTCAATTCTGACAAAAATGTCATAAACACCAATCAGGCATAACATTATGACCACCTCCTTGTTTCTACACTCATTGTCCATTTTATCAGCTCCACTTACTATATAGGTGCACTTTGTAGTTCTACAGTTACAGACTGTAGTCCATCTGTTTCTCTGATACTTTGTTAGCCCCCTTTTACCCTGTTCTTCAGTGGTCAGGACCCCCATGGACCCTCACAGAGCAGGTACTATTTGGGTGGTGGATCATTCTCAGCACTGCAGTAACACTGATGTGGTGGTGGTGTGTTAGTGTGTGTTGCGCTGGTCTGAGTGGATCAGACACAGCAGTGCTGCTGGAGTTTTTAAACACCTCAGTGTCACTGCTGGACTGAGAATAGTCCACCAACCAAAAATATCCAGCCAACAGCGTCCTGTGGCCAGCATCCTGTGACCACTGATGAAGGACTAGAGGATGACCAACACAAACTGTGCAGCAGCAGATGAGCTATCGTCTCGGACTTTACATCTACAAGGTGGACTGACAAGGTAGGAGTGTCTAATAGAGTGGACAGTGAGTGGACACAGTGTTTAAAAACTCCAGCAGCACTGCTGTGTCTGATCCACTCAGACCAGCGCAACACACACTAACACACCACCACCATGTCAGTAATACTGCAGTGCTGAGAATGATCCACCACCCAAATAGTACCTGCTCTGCGAGGGTCCATAGGGGTCCTGACCACTGAAGAACAGGGTTCCAAGAGGACAATGTTAAAAGAGTAAAGCACCATCATAACAGTCCAACAGACTCACCGCTGGGTTCGTCGGCCACAGATACGCGGAGGCACAGTGGGCGGGGCAATGAAAGGCGGGCCCTGCTCTGAATGGGCGTGTCTGGGATGAAGGTGACGGGTCCGTGCTCGGGACAGCTCGAGCTGTAAGAGCGCTCACATAAAGTGCACCCTGCTCACAATAAACACAGCAAACAGGCATAATTAGACACCAAGGACACTGTGGCATCTGTCACTCTTAAAATGACGGTTCTTCAAGGGTTCTTTAGCAAAGGGAACCAACTGCATAGGACCATTTCATGCTCATGAAATGTTTCTTCAGATTGATGAAGAATGTGTTGTATATGGTTCTATATAGCACCAAAAGGGATTCTTTTACAAGTTTGACATCAAACACTCTTAAAAAGATGGTTCTTCAAGGGTTCTTTAGTAAAGAAAAGGGTTCTATATAGAAACATTACACTCAAAGAACCCTTTGCCTGATTAAACAGTTCCTTGCATTACGAAAGGATTCTTCAGACCGATGGAAAACGTGCACAAATGTGTTACAGATGGTTCTATATAGAACCTTTTTGAGGAGGGTTCTATATTGCACTCAAAAGGGTTCTACTACTGTTACAAGCTTGACATTGTAATAAAAAAACTCTTTTGGGTGCTATGTAGATCAATTTTCAAAAAGGTTCTATACAGAACCATCTACAGCACATTTTCAGTCAGTTAGTCTGAAGAACACTTTCACAATGAAAAGAACCGTCTAATCATACCAAGGTTCTTTGAGTGTTCATGGTTCTACCTAGAACCATTTTTTTATTAAAGAACCATTGAAGGGCCATCTTTTTTAAGAGTGTAACAAAGGAAAACCCTTTTTGGTGCTATATAGAACCATTTTCAAAAAGCTTCCATACAGAACCAGACACAACATACTCTCCATCAATCTGAAGAACCTTTTCACCATGCAAAGAACCCTTTCAGCATCTAGTTAGAACTCAAAGCCTCTTTCTGACGACGTATCTTAAAGATAGGAGGAACTTTTGAAAAGTACATGTGCTTTGAGGGCAGGCTGATTGATTGATTGATGGATGGATTGATTGATGGATTGATTGATGGATTGATTGATGGATTGATGGATTGGTTGATGGATTGGTTGATGGATGGATGGATTGATGGATGGATGGATGGACTGATGGACTGACTGATGGATTGATGGATGGATGGATTGATGGATAGATGGGATGATGGATGGATGGATGGATTGATGGATTGATGGACTGATGGACTGATGGACTGATGGATGGATTGATGGACTGATGGATGGATGGATTGATGGATAGATGGATGGATTGATGGACTGATGGATGGATTGATGGACTGATGGATGGATTGATGGACTGATGGATGGATGGATGGCTACTAGAGAAGGAAGCCAGACAGCTAATGTTGCTGCTAATAAATGCACAGGGGTTGTTTTATGTATTTAAGCAATGCATGCTGGGTATTGTAGTGCAAGATCACTGATGAATTAATACACAAAAGAATAAAAAATTGTAAATTCAGCCAATCTGATAAGGCTGAGAGATACAAGACCACACTACAGAATACTATACAACCCAAGACAAACAACTTATTAAATGCTCGTTTTAGGCCAGAATGCCCCTTTAAAGGGAAACTCCTCCACTATTTCAAAATTTCTATGTAATTCAATGGTCGAGATGTAAAGTCATTCAGAGCGGTTTAATGTCAAACGGTTCACTGTAGAGGAACTTACTGCCTCGGTGGTGGTGAATCAGGACTCACTATGTCTACAACACAAATACAGCCATTTTACTTACTATCCGAAACCACGCGCGTCTTTTGAGTTTTCATATGTAATGTTGATAATAGTGAAATAATGATAAATCTGAAAAATTAAGTTTTCTATGGGGAATATTTTGCCTTGGTACACCCTCCATGTATCCCTCCTCCATGTATAGACTAAAATTAATGGATTAAAATACATTTAGGCCAAACCTTCTCACAAAACTATCATAAAACAGTGTCTCAGACATCAGGCTGACCATTCATAACCATTTCATGTAATAACTTTCTGTCAGGGAGCTTTTAGAGGCATTAAATGCCTCAGATGTCTGGTTCCCATCACCATCGCTGTGAACGGCAGGTTTCTCTGGAACAAAGCATTTCACACCGAACCACTCTGAATGACTTAGTTTACATCTTTAAGATTAAGATTAAGTGACCCTTATTAGTCCCACATGGGAAAAATTTCACCTCCCCAATTTAACCCATCCGTGCAGTGAAACACCACATACACACTAGTGAACACAACTAGGGGGCAATGAGCACACTTGCCCGGACCAGTGGGCAGCCCTACCCGCAGCGCCCAGGGAGCAGTTGGGGGTTAAGCGCCTTGCTTAAGGGCACTTCAGTCACGTAGTGTCAGCTCAGTGGATCTTTATCATTTAATAAAACAGACATTTTTAAAAAATGGTGAAATTCCCCTTTAAGATAGATTTCTGTCGTAAGTATGCCTGCCTGTTTTTTCTTGCTAATTTTTCTCTCTGGGTTCCTATAATAATAATAATAATAATAATACAGGGTTGCTAAGTGACTTACAAATAGTGAATGCAGTGGTTATGTTCTCCTTATTTGAAGTGGAGTCCTCCAACTGTAGGGTTGAGTTAACCAGCACCAAGCTATTGTCTGGCCCCAAAGACACCTCTGCAGTAATGGGGGACACGTTTACAGGCTCCAGCCCCATGCCTGAAGGTCCATGTAGAGATACAGGCTCCAGCTGAGTCTGGGGTGCCATGGCTTCAGTGAGCACCACACTGACCACCCCAGCGGTCAGCTCTCCACTAGAGTGCAAGGCTTCACTCAGAGCCCCCGGACCTCCAGCCCCTGCTGAGCTGTTCCCCACCCTTCCGCTCATGTGCTCCTGTTCCATCACAACCGGCAGCTCCAGCCCAGGGCCATGCAGTGGTATGACTCCCCCCGAGGAGTCCACTCCGGCCAGGCCCTCATGGGTCTGAGTCCTCCCCCCTAACTGCTGCTGCGTCTCCGCCACCACCACACCTTCCATGGTGGCCAGCTCTTCTCCCATACCATCAGGGGACATGGGGCTGTTGACGCGTGACTCCATTGCGAGTCCAGTGGTGTCCAGCTGAACCTCGTGAGCACCAGCCTGGTGCAGGTCTGCCTGGCCACCGACCTGCCGCGAGTCTATGGACACCATTCCTTGCTCCAGAGGTCCTCCCGGGCCGCTGTACGGGTCTAGGCCGGAGGGGTTATTGTTGGGTACAGACAGAGTGCCGTCCATGTTAAGGCTGCTGGGGTGGATGTACTGCGGTGGAGGACGATCTGCCAGATATGACAAAATACCTGGAGAAACAAAGACAACAGATATTAATATTTACATGTATACATTTTGCAGGTAATACTGTCATTCATAAAACATTTTGCTGCCTGTTCAAATGACGTTTTGTTGATTTTCTAAGTGTAAATTTGTGACCACATCCTCTAGAGAGAACATACTTCTGCACATTTTAATGCACAGTTAATAGAGCTGAAAGATTAATCGTTTATATATTGAAATCGCAATTTAAGGGAGTGCAATTTTCAAATCGCAAGAGCTGCAAATTAAAAAAATTACAGCCTACATTATCAAAAACGCTGTCCTACGTTGAAAAGAGGGAAAATTAAACCATATAACACAGAATTTGTAGTCTGTAGAGAAGGTTGACCAATCAGAGGGAACCGAACCTCCATATTTTATGACATCACAACCACAACTTACTGGCAGTCTGGCACACCATATTAAGGGGTTAAGCCTTAAAAAAAAAGGTCTGAACCTCAATTTATAGAATATAACCGCACTTTAAATTGCAAAATCAGTTAGAAAAATCATAATTAGATATTTTATCCAAATCGTTCCGTTGTTTATTTGCTTATTGAATTTAATATACTGGAAAAATACAGCATAAGATGTGGCTTGTGCAAAAGTTATGGCACATTTTATATTGCATGTTTTTTTTTTAATTTGTTAAACAAACAAATAAAATTTGTGCACTAAAATCTGCAGATAATGCCAATTTTAAGTATGTTGCCATATTGTTAACATATTTTACTTATTGGGGGTACTAAAACTTTTGCATACAACTTTAAGTCATGTTGGCAGATTTAACATCAAGACTTTTGCCCAAAGACCCTTAAAGGTATGCTTGCCTTGGTGGGAATTCAAAGCTCGGTCTGTTATGCAGAGGGTAACAGTATGACCCACTTTACCAGATATTAAACCACTCAGTACTAAAGAAGCAGATCTAACGCAGAAGTGCCTGAACTTTTTGTCTGCAATATTTGTGTTGGGCCAAGGGCCAAAAAGACAGAACAGCACGCCAATAAAGACAGCAGGTAGCTTGCAAATCTGTTCTTAGACTATATATTTCGTTAAAGTACTTTGAAATACAATCACAAAACCTACATAAACATTTAAAATAAGAAGCTGTACAAAGACGTTTTTCCTCTAATTGGGGTGTTGGCGACCCAAATCGAACGCTTTGGCCCATGGGCCCCACTTTGTGCAGCTCCAGTCTAATGAAACAACTACTTTGCCTAGAAGGATGTTCCAAAAAATCTCCCGTGGAGGAACCGAACTGTTCTGACTCTTGATTATATCACCAATAGTGAAAAGGCCATTTCTGGATCCACAGGGTGCTTTAAAATTGTTCTTTTTTAGTCAGAAATGTTCACCTGGTGATCCATTTAATTATGTTACACTCTTAAAAATGATTGTTCTTCATAGAGGAAATGGTTTTATATAGAACCTAGCACACTCAAAGAATCCTTCGCATGATTAAAGGGTTCTTTGCATCATGAAAGGGTTCTTCTGATTGATGGAGAATGTGGTGTATATGGTTCTACAGCTTGACAAGGTAAAGAAATAGAAGAACCCTTTTGGTGTTATATAGAACCCTTTTCAAAAAGGTTCTACATAGAACCATATAAAACATGTTCTCCATCAATCTGAAAAACGATTTCACCATGCAAAGAACGATTTAACAATGAAATAGTTATCAGGCATAACATTCTGACCACCTCCTTGTTTCTACGCTCATTGTCCATTTGATCAGCTCCACTTACTATATAGGTGCACTTTGTAGTTCTACAGTTACAGACTGTAGTCCATCTGTTTCTCTGATACTTTGTTAGCCCCCTTTTACCCTGTTCTTCAGTGGTCAGGACCCCCATGGACCCTCACAGAGCAGGTATTATTTGGGTGGTGGATCATTCTCAGCACTGCAGTAACACTGACGTGGTGGTGGTGTGTTAGTGTGTGTTGTGCTGGTCTGAGTGGATCAGACACAGCAGTGCTGCTGGAGTTTTTAAACACCTCGGTGTCACTGCTGGACTGAGAATAGTCCACCAACCAAAAATATCCAACCAACAGCATCCTGTGGGCAGCGTCCTGTGACCACTGATGAAGGACTAGAGGATGACCACCACAAACTGTGCAGCAGCAGATGAGCTATCGTCTCTGACTTTACATCTGCAAGATGGACTGACAAGGTAGGAGTGTCTAATAGAGTGGACAGTGAGTGGACACAGTGTTCAAAAACTCCAGCAGCACTGCTGTGTCTGATCCACTCAGACCAGCGCAACACATACTAACACACCACCACCACATCACTGTCACTGCAGTGCTGAGAATGATCCACCACCCAAATAGTACCTGCTCTGTGAGGGTCCATGGGGGTCCTGACCACTGAAGAACAGGGTAAAAGGGGGCTAACAAAGTATCAGAGAAACAGATGGACTACAGTCTGTAACTGTAGAACTACAAAGTGCACCTATATAGTAAGTGGAGCTGATAAAATGGACAATGAGTGGAGAAACAAGGAGGTGGTCATAATGTTATGCATGACCGGTGTGTGTGTGTGTGTGTGTGTATATGTGTATATGTGTACATATATATATATATATATATATATGTGGTGTGCATGCATGTGGAGGGTAACAGTATTATCCACTACATTATCCCAATCAGAAATAAAGAAGCTTAGTATGTCAGTGTAATAAATACTTTACCTGGAAGGATGTGTCGAAAGTAGCTACTCTCCAGATGTGGGTACGGAGGAGGGGGTAGTGTATAGTTCCGCTCTGGAAGGCCACACATGACTCCTCTGTCTCCTAACGGCCCCATGGGTAGCATGAGTGACAGGGCTGAGGGCAGTGGTCCAAGTGATGGACCCAAGCTTGGTATGGCAACAGGCATGCCTGAAAAAAGGATCAACAGATTTAGAGAAAAACCCGTAACATGAAGCACAAATGAATGAAACAAAGAAGTCAAGCTCCAACCTGGGGTGGCGATGGGGTTGTGAGTAGGTGAGGTAGGAAGACCAAGATGACTGGCACTGACAGACGGTACACTGAGTTGGTCCATGCCCACAGGGCTAAGGTTCATGTCATTCATTCTGAACAGAAGAGAGTGAGATAAAGCCAAACCTGGGGCAGCATCTATGTATCAGCAGTCAGCAGTGTTTAAAAAAAGCAAATGTCAATGTAACATCAGTGTTCAAACTGAAAGGGGAATTCCACCCATGTATCAAAATACTGCATAACTAAATGGTTTAGAGGTAAACAGAGTCATTCAGAGTGGTTTGGTGTGAAATGCTCCGTTCTAATTGTTCACAGTGGTGGTGATGGGAACCAGACGTCCACCTCTAAAAGCTCCCTGACAGAAAGTTTTTACATGAAATGGTTATGAATGCGCTGCATGATGTCTGAGACATTGTTTCACAATAGTTTTGAGAAGATTTTGGCCTTAAAGTCCATTTATGGTGGAGGGATACATGCAGGGTGCTGTGAGGTAAAATAGTCCCCAAAGAAAATGTATTATTTCAGATTTTGGAAATAATTTATTATTTTGGAAATGCATGTATTTTATCCCTGGCTGCTATCTTTTTCCTTTTCTGTTTAAACTGATATAATGTTTTATGTTTATCGATTTTGTGTATTACCTTGAGATTATTGTAATTGTACCGGAAAATAAATAAATAAATACATAAATGAATAAAAAATCTCGTGAATGCGATATTTATGACAAAACTAGAAGGCAGCATTTAAAAAAAAACAATAATTTGTTATAACAAAAAAGGACTTACAAAGCAACGCAAACTTAGTAGAAAAATACAAGTAGAAAAAGGGGCGGCGAGGGGAGGACGGGGATATTTATCAAGAATAGGATTATAGCTCAGAAGACTCGTGTAGGTTCACTGGTGGTTCTGGATAGTAAATAAAATGTCTATATTTGTGTTGTAGTCATGGCGACCCCTGGTTCCTATCACCACCACTGTAAAGACATCTGAACAATTTCACACCAAACCACTCTGAATCACTCTGATTATCATTCAGGAATTTTGAAAAATGAGTGGAATTCTCCTTTAAGCAAAGAATTGGTTACCTGAAAGTTTCCTGTCAGTTATGGCACGGCGAGGGATCCATTTTTATAACTGCAGTGAATGGAAGAATAAACATTTAAAAGGATTCGTCAAGAATTGGTCTGATTTAAAACATCTCAAATTACTGCATTTTCACATGTTTCCCCAATTCAAACCAAATAGGAATCAGAATTAGATCCATTGACTTGGGGGCTATAATACAGCACTGTATCATCTATGGGATTCTTTAAGCGCTGCTAGAGCTCCTTCAGCAAAAGTTGAATTAACTAGTTAAATACTGCACAGCTTTTTTAATATATGTTTATATTCTTATATATCTGATGGCTTGTTCTCATTATTTTTAGCCTGATTATCTAGAGCGAGGCTGAAGAAGTTGGATTCCTATTCGCCAGGTTCCTGTTCGAATTATCCCGGTCCACCTTAAATGGTGAGGCAGTTACATTCTCTCGCCTCTGGCGCCAGAACGTAACTGCTGCACCATTTAAGGTGGACCGGGAAAATTGGAACAAAAAGCTGGCGAATAGGAATCCAGCCTGTTATCCGTCTGAATATGAAACACAGAGCCAACCCAAGACTTCTAAAAAATATATTACTCTAAAACAAAACGAAAGAAACTGAATTTAGCACCACATCAAACTGTCAGAAACACAGAAATACAAGCTGTATTTCCTTCATACACGATAATGAGACTATCTGGCTGACCAGCCTGCAACGTAAGTTCTACATTCTAAGTTACAGAATAAGAGTTTGCTCTCTGTTTTACAAATAATATTAAAATAGTGCATGTTGATAAACGGAATTACTCACAATCAAGTTTAAAATTAGCCTGTTCGCTAAAAAATGCAGAGGAAAACAATAACATGGCTAAAGACAAGCGAGTGAGGCACAAGAAGGGGGCGGTCTTTCAAAATAAAAGACCTGCTAGCTCAGGGCTCTAATGCTGTCCTCCTCGGAAGTTCCTTTACGGAAGCCCGTTTCCTGCACAAGAAAATAAAATATAGCCATTTAGTAAATCATAATAATGGGAACCTTTTATTACTTCATAAATCTGACTTAATATCTCATCATTATTTACTTGTTATTTTCTAATTATTATTATGAGATACTAAGTCATAATTGTGAGATAGAATCTTATTATTACTAGATATTAAGAATTCTGAAATATTAAGTCATAATTTATTATTTTGGAATTGCCTGTATTTTATCTCTGGCTGCTATCTTTTTCCCTTTCTGGTTAAACTGATATAATGTTTTATGTTTAAGCATATTATGTATTACCTTAAGATTATTGTAATTGTACTCCAAAATACATAAATAAATAAATACATAAATAAATAAAAATCTCGTAAATGCGATATTTACGACACAGCTTGTAGCCAGCATTAAAAAAGACAATAATTTGTTATAGCCAAAAAGGACTTACAAAGCAATGTAAACTTAGTAGAGGAATAGAAGTAGGAAAAGGGGGCGCTGAGGGGAAGACAGCGGGATATTAATCAAGAATAGGATTAAACAGAATGCATAAATACATAAGTGAGAAAATATTTACAGTCCTACGGAAACAATACTGATAGTGTTGCGAATAGTCGAAAGTGAATAAATAAAAGAAATACGTAATTTAGAAAATTAATTATAATACTGATGGAAAAAAAATACCAAGAGTGTTGCAAATAATCGAAAATTGAGAAATAAAAGAAATAGATAATTTAGAAAATAAATTATAATACTGATGAAAAAAATATACCAAGAGTGTTGCGAGTAATGGTTAAAGTTTTCACAGCTTTTCTACTGTCGGATAAGCTAATAAGCTTGATCAAATTTTAACAAGGTAGCATGTTATCAGAGAATTCTCCAGCTACCGCGTTCGCGACAGAGAAAAGACTTGTATTTTGTAATAAGCATTGTCGTTTGGATGTTGGTCGTATGAACCAGAAGCGATAGCGTTAGCATCGTAGCTAGAAAACCTGCTGTGTAATCTCGTCTCTGCGGCGCTCAGAGAAATCGAAGGAAAGCAACGATGCCGGATTATTTAGGAGCCGAGCAGCGCAAAGTTAAAGAGGAGGAGAAGGAGGACGGGCCGATTCGAGGTACTGACTCGTGTATATTCGTGTATAAAGCGCTGTATGTGTTTATATGAGCTTTCGGGTGCCGAGTGTTGCTGCGCCGCCCGCTGCTTCTCACTCGGCTAGCTGAGAGGCTGCAGCTCTCACTGTCCCGACTCGAAGCGATTTAGGCTGATTTTACTGAGAAACTGGCTGAGAAATGATGAGAAAGAGCTTCGTCTGAAATATCGTCCGCTTATAAAGAGCTGCGGTCCGGATGGAGGTGAAATAATCACCCAAGTCTTCGCTCGCTAGTGCTAACCAGCCGGCTAATGTGGCACAATGTAGTGAACGTAAAGGGGAAGTCCACGAATTTTTCAAAAATATCTGCGTAATTCAGTGGTTGAGATGTCAACAGTCGTTCAGAATGGTTCGGTGTGAAATGATTTGTTCTAGAGAAACGTACCGTTCAGCGATGGTGATGGGAACCAGACATCTGAAGCATTTAATGCCTCTAAAAGCTCCCTGACAGAAAATTATTACATGAAATCGTTATGAATGTTCAGCCTGATGTCCGAGACACTGTGTTAGGGTAGTTTTGTGAGAAAATTTTGGCCTAAAACGTATTTTAATCCATTAATTTTAGTCTATACATGGAGGGTCTACCAAGGCAAAACTTACTGAGTCAGGATTGTTCACAGTGGTGGTGATAGGAACCAGACGTCCACCTCTAAAAGCTCCCTGACAGAAAGTTACTACATGAAATGGTTATGAATGTTCAGCCTGATGACCGAGACACTGTGTTAGGGTAGTTTTGTGAGAAAATTTTGGCCTAAAACGTATTTTAATCCATTAATTTTAGTCTATACATGGAGGCTATACCAAGGCAAAAACTTACAGAGTCAGAATTATTCACAGTGGTGGTGATAGGAACCAGACGTTCACCTCTAAAAGCTCCCTCACAGAAGGTTATTAGCTATATGACGTGGCTATGAATACACTCTCTGATGTCTGAGACACTGTTTGGGACAAAGGTTTGGCTTAAAATGCATTTTAATCCCATTATTTTAATCCAACCAAGGAGGAGGGTTAAATAGGACATATAGATGAAGAAGCTCAATCAGATATTGAGGAACCAGACCGTTCAGAGCTTTTTATATAATAAGGAGAACTTTGAGCTGAACATGGAAGGCAATATATAACCAGTGAGGATTCTGAAGGACAGGGGTGATATGGTCGGTTTTCTTAAAGCAGATGAGGATCCTAGCAGCGGCATTTTGTACCTACTGTAGCCTAATAAGGGCTTTAATAGGGAAGGCCAGATAGAAGAACATTACAGTAGTTTTACTGCAAGGTCACTAATACCTGCACAAGTGTTTCTACATCTGCTGGGCTGAGGGACGGCCAGAGACAAGCAATATTACAAGGATGGAAAATTGCTGTCTTAACAGTGGAATTGATGTGAATGTTAAAGGAGAGGGGGTCAAAGATAACTCCGAGATTGTGAATGTGGGGAGAACGTGTTACGAGAATCCCTTCAGTATTGATGCCAGGACAGGTGAATTAGACATCAGTGCCTCAGATAGATATCAGAAGCCTAACTAACTTCTCCTTTAAGCAGATAGCAAAATACAAAATTTGATAGTATCATTTACTATTGTGCAAAATAATAAGAAATGGCATACTGACAGCTGTTAACATCAGAATTACCTCACAGTCAGCATTACCTCCACAGCTTTTTCTGTAAAGGCTGCAAAATGAATAAATATATCGCTGCTGTCTGAAGAAAACCTTGTATCTCCATTTTTGTCTTTCTTGTTTTTTAGTTTTTGACATAATTTGAAAACACCTGTTCTCCTTTACTTTGTAATTTGAATTGGAAAAAAGTCTGGTTCCATGGTTGTTCAGCCCTAGTGGCTAGATTTGCCTTCTCCACTGGGTTTATATTGTGTCTGAATTTCACATAGCCTCTTAAACCCCTTGAGACCACCCGTGGTTCCAAAATGCACTTCGTCATATTCTTCATAGCTTTCATATTTCATAAGCTACATTCAGAAGGTGGGGGTCGTATGAGAGCTGTAACTGTCTTCTTTCCAGTCAAATAGATAGGTGATGTAATTTTAAACCCTCATAATAAAAGAAGCTGAACTCACAATTATTTGTGACCCATTTTTCCACAAATCTGGGCTATAAACTATAAACAGATGGCATCTCTTCAGTGATCTGCTCTGTAAAAATTATTTTTATAAAATAACACACAGAGCGTTTAAGAATAAATAAATAATTTGCCTTATGATTGGTCATGCAAATTCAGATGGAAAAACCAAAATATACCCTGGAGAATAAGAGGTTAATGAACTGAGTAGCGTCTTGCGTAGACTTGAATATCCATTGTTTGTTGCACAGGATAAACACATAAAAAGCAGCGTATGACATACATGCATATAAGCTGGAGTGAGTGAATAGTTTTTATTTTCTTTAGATTGTTAGTTAGCTGCTTTAACTTAGCCCCGACTCTAACAGGTGTGCTGTTTTATTTTTTCCTCACAGCTTTGGATGAAGGGGACATCGCTCTTCTGAAAACCTATGTAAGTACCATGTCTTTGACTACAAATACAATTCACTGTATTTACCATGCTGGCTACATAACATCATTGGCTGGAACAGATTTATACGGAGCCCCGGAGGGGAAAATAAATAAATAACTAATTAATTCGAGTGAACGTTTTGCAGCTTGTACGGACATTTTCTTTTATTCGTGGTCATGATTTCTTAAATTGTTCCCTCGTTTTCTTTTACTTGTGTGCATGTTTTCTTTACTTCGTGGGTACGGTTTTTTTGTGATCATGATTTTCTAATTTGTTCACTCGTTTTCTTTTAATCGTTGTCATGTTTTATTTTTAACTGAACGCACGTTGTTTATTTTTTTTTATTTGTGCCCAAAATCACTGTAGTAGATGCAGGTTGTGTTATTTGTCCGGTGCAGAAGTAACTAACAGCTCCCTGAGACGGTCTGACGGGTTTTGATGAGTTCGATTGATGAGATAATGAACAGAGATGCTCATCAGGTCTGATTCTGATTTGGGGGGTTATGAGGAAACTGCAGCTCCTCTTCACAGCAAACGGCCCTCAGATTCATCAGTGCAGCTGCAGTTTGGTGGTGAAATGAAGGAAGACAACAAACTACATCCACAATCTTCACTAAACTGCGCTTTCTTATGATCATATTTAACAGAGACAGAGACGCAGCGCGGCCGCTTAGCGCTGTTTCTGCTCCCGCGACAAGCTGCGGTGTTAGAGACCATCACACAATTACAGGAAGAAATGATCAGCGTCAACGTTTCAACAAACTCAAATTAAACACACACAGACATTTTCATGTGGGATGAGGTCAAATGGCGAGAGAGTTTAACAGATCTAGGCATTAGGTGTAGATATATTAATGTGAGGATGTTGAAACGCTGATCATTTCGTCCTGTAATTGTGTGATGGTCTCTAACACCGCAGCTTGACCGGGAGCAGAAACACTGTGGGCCGTTTGCTGTGAAGAGGAGCTACAGTTTCCTCATAAACCCCCCAAATCAAAATCAGACCCGATGAGCATCTCTGTTCATTATCTCATCAATCTAACACGTCAAAACCCGTCAGACGGTCTCAGGGAGCTGTTATCAAAACACGAACAACGAACGTTCAGTTAAAAATAAAACATGACCACGGTTAAAAGAAAATTAGAGAACGAATTGGAAAATCATGATCATGATTTAAAAAAAAAAAGTATCTACGAAGTAAAGAAAACGTGACCACGAATATAAGAAAACGAGTGTACGAACTGCAGAGCGTTCACTCCATCAACTCCGGGGGTCCATAGATTT